GCTGCAGCGTATGCACTGAAACATACAGGCTACCACTCCTGTATACGGTACATGCATGCAGTTATGCTGACAAAGGCTCCTTTGCTGGGGCTCAGGCTACTGCTTGTCCAGACAAGCCAGTTGGTGAGTGACACTGTGACTATTGTTTTGTACTCTAGGGGCCTCTCACTTTACAGACAGACATCGCTCTCTGTGTGGGGCTTCAAACTTCTCTTTTCAGGCTTCTGCTTAAGAGGCAGTTGTCTCTAGCAGCCAAGAGTCTAGAGTCAGTAACTGAAGTGCTCCTTCCCAGGACAGCTGCAAGGGCCTGTGCATTCAGGCAGACAAGCAAACTGAGTCACACTCTACCTTGCAGGTGTGTAATGGGGGAAGAGGGCAAAGCCCCTGCTCCATAGAAATTACATTTTGCCCCTTGGCCAATGTCTAGTGGGTGTCACCTATGCCTCAAGTGCTATGAAAGATGACAGGCAAGAGGTACATGACAGCCCCAGAGCTGGCATGTGATTTTGGAAGAGATTTGTTCAATCCAAGGATGTTAAGTGCCATGTAACTGACTTATCAAATAGTTGATACATTTTTGCATTGACTATTTGATTAGTCAATGGGGGGCATTGCACCTTTGAAACACCCTGCTGGCATTTCAAAGGGGCAATGTACATTGAGACTGGCATCAGCTGTGCGGCACTGCCCCTTTGAAATGCCACTGCTACTGATAGCCTACAAGTTTCCCCCCTGCCTCTATCTGAAAAATCGACTAAACCATAACATCCCTAGTTAAAACTTTGTAACAGCCACTGATTTTAGGTATCCATTTTGAGACTCTGGATCCAAATTTCAGAGCTCTCACAACTGCCACTAACTTCAACTGATAATTAACAAGTGTGGCCCTCTGCTGCTCTTCATTCCCCCCCCCCCCCCCCAAAAACCAGAGCCACCACCTCCCTTTGACAAAAGGTGCTTGGAGAACCTTAGCTGGACAGAGCAATTCTAATCTCTGAAGCTTAATTCTGACCACTACTTAACCCTCACTGCACAGTTCTGCCAGGAGCTTGTCCCTGAGCACAGAGCTGCACTTTGTCTCCTCCTGCCGCATGCTGCAATGTTCAAGTGTGCAGCGAGCCCTCCCTGTTGGGAAAGGGCAGAGCAGTGTGACCTGTAAAGAGGCTATTGTGCCCCCATCAATGTGGAGGTGGCACACTCACCTTCTGAGCCCTACCGGGAGACAAATCTGGTAAAATATTTACACTGCAAAGGGGACAGGGACTTGCTTCTCCCTCATGCAAGATGCTTGATTGCTCCTCACAGATTCCAGTGGAAGCCAAACACACAGACAAGCTCAGGTTTAATAATCTCAGATTGGGAGGAAAGAGGGAAAGGACACAGGCACTTCCTCTCTAAGCACATGCTTTCCCTAGGAGCCTGAGAGAGAGAAAGAGAGAGAGAGGATGAAGCACAGACGGCAATCATTAGGGAAGGGAAAGAAGCAGGCCGTGCCCAGAGACTAGTTCTTCCAGATCATTGGCCAGGCAACACAGTGAACTTAGCACTGTACCTGTGTATGACACAGCCAGGGACGTGTGGCCTACTGGAGGAGTTGCACTATACAGCCAGGCTACGTCTACACTGGCATGATTTTCCAAAAATGCTCTTAACGGAAAAGTTTTCCATTAAAAGCATTTTCAGAAAAGCACGTCTAGATTGGCAGGATGCTTTTCCGCAATAGCACTTTTTGCGGAAAAGCGTCCATGGCCAATCTAGACGCGCTTTTCTGCAAAAAAGCCCCGATCACCATTTTCGCGATTGGAGCTTTTTTGCGGAAAACAGCACTATGCTGTTTACACTGGCCCTCTTGAGCAAATGATTTGCACAAAAGGGCTTTTGCCCGAACAGGAGCAGCACAGTATTTCCGCAAGAACACAGACGATCTTACATGAGAGAGTCAGTGTTCTTGCGGAAATTCAAGCGGCCAGTGTAAACAGCTAGCAAGTTTTTCCGCAAAATCACATGATGCTGCAGAAAAACTTGCCAGTCTAGAGACAGCCCCAGAGTATATTCATTAGTGCTGTCTCTCACTGCTCCCCAACTAGATTATTCCTAGCTGAGTTCCAAGTATAAAGATACAGATTTCAATTATATTAACAAGCAAGAGCCATAAAAAGGAAGTTCAGATCTTCAATCAGATTCACACCAACACATCTCCCCGCTTTGGGGAGATAAACAAGTCTCCAGCAGCAGAGAAGTGCTCAAGCGTCCAATAGTTTTTAGACCAAGAACAGTGGGTGGCTGCTGGTTTCTACAGAGAGAAATACACCACCACTGGTCTGACCAGAATCTCTTCAGATGTCAGTGACTCGCCCCCCTCCAATTCTTGATATTTGTTCATGGGTCAAATACCACCAACTAGCCAGAATCCTTCATGGTTTCCCCCAGGGGAATTTGTAAAGCAGTCTGATTCTAAAGAGTGTCTTAATCCTGAAGTGGCACATGAATTGAGTAATTTCTTGAGCATGACACCTGTTCCATATTAGGATTTAGGCTCTTCCTTTTTAATTCCCCTTTATTACAGGGGCTTTGTGGCAATCATGGCCTCCCAACATCTCGCCCAGACTCAAAACCCATCTATCGGTGCCCATTGCTAGATCAGTCACTAGTTGGCATCTAAGGCTGAGCAGAAACTCAAATCTCCAGGCACAGATCAAGTAGTGGATACCTAAAGCCTTTCCCCACTATTTGAGCCACTAAGTTCACCACTCTCTATCTCCAGAAACAGGGAGGCAGGCAAGACGGGAATAATTCCTAAGGATCCCATGCATCACAAGGTACTGGACTCCCCTCCAAACCAAAACGGGTTAGTGATATGTCTCTGCAGCCCTGGGACTGTAAACTGCAAACCCCAGGTGGCTGCTGCCATCTGGTGGTGACATTCAAATCTGCTGTATAATTTTATGCAGTAGATCAATGAAAGCGAGGAGTCGTCCCGTGGCACCTTACAGACAAACAGATTTATTGGAGCATAAACTTTCGTAGGCAAAGACCCACTTCGTCAGATGCCCACAAAAGCTTATGCTCCAATAAGTCTGTTAGTCTGGATCCGCAAAAGCATCCTGTGGCACCTTAGACTAACACGGCTACCCTCCGATACTGACAGCAGATTAGAGCTACATAATAAAGGTGACTACCACTGAAACTGAACCCTAGTTTCTCAAAGCAAGTTCCATGCAGTTTGGGTTAAAAAGCTTTTTTTTTTTTAAATTGAATCCTTCTCATTGCCTGATTTCTCTGCATTCTCTCTAGTCCCATTCTCAATTCCTTCCCTCCTGTAAAAGCACTTTCCATCCATGTACATTCTTTTCTCCCTCAAGCATCTTAGGGGGAAGAGTCACTGGGAAAGGAGTTAATCAACTGAAACAATTGTTCAGAGGTGGAGGCACTATCATGAGTTTAGCTTTACTGAGGTTTCCTGGATTTACATTTTTTCCCTGCACATGACCCTTGATTTGCACCCTGAGCTGCAGCAGGGAGTAGAACACAGACAGTAGCTAGTAACAAAAACCCTTGAAGAAGACTGATACAAGTATTCAGAACAGAGCAACCAAAATTGCACTACAGGAAGGAAAAGGATTTACTATTGCAATCAGGAGGATATGACAGAGGAACAGCAGAAACAAACAGCACTCTTTTCGGCTAGTCTGCAACCAGTAAAGGAGGGAGACAAGTCAGCTAAAAACCGCTCCAGCCATTTTGCCTTCAGGCAGTATTTTTATGGAGCAGTTTGTATTAATTTTGTAGTCTTCTAAAGGAATCCAGGAGGGGCTAAGCTGGGCCCTCTCCCACTGTATTAATAAATATTAGTAATGTTAAAAATAGTTTAATATGGTAACCACGTATCTGCTAAAAAAAACTTTGCAGTTCAAAGCCTGCCGTGTGTGTAAGTATAAAGCTTAAGCTTTATACTGCAGAGTAGCCTCTCCTCCCCCCCCCCCCCCCCCCAGGGGAACTGGGCTGTCAGCTCCTTCCAGCCTGACTCCGATGGAGGAGGCTTTGCTGCCCTGCCACCTTCCTGGGAACTGGCTGAGTGTAATCAATACCATTAACTGATATTGACTAAATGGTTATTCGGCTACACTCTAACATCCCTAGTAAATATGGGAATGTGCAGTTAAGGTTCACCAGCAAAGCAAACCCAACCCTTCGCATTTGTTGCTGTCCAAGCATACTACAAAGAAGCACGTTATGAGCTTTTGGAACGACCATAAAACCCAGCCCTCCGGTTGATGTGTCCTACGTGTTACCTGGATAGCCCCCATAGCACAGTACGAAGATTATCAGATGTGTGGTGAACAGGTGGCTGGGCAAATGCCTACCCACACCCTGCCATCAACAGTTCGGCCATTTCACCTGGACACTTGTCATGTCTGAAGGAGACAAATGGTCAGTGCTGTGACCGATAGTAATCAGTTTTCAAAACTCAATGGATCCAGTAATTTTCCTACCAAAATGCCCAAACACAAACTCTTCAGTAGAGACTAAATTTTAAATTGCTTTTAAAAGGGTCACCTTGGCTTTAGAATTTTCTTTTTTTTCTCCTTGCGGTAAATAGAATTAAAGTTTTCTTGTGTCTCCAGAAATTGTTCTGAAATCTGGTGCATACCAAGTCCACATTTGGAACCCACTTATAAACCCAAGACAGACCCAGGATTTCTAATGGCCATATTAGCAGACTTAAAATTATATCCCCCATAAGGCACCAAATCTGGAAACACTTGTGCAAATGCTTAACATTACCAGTTAACACACATGGTTGCACTAGCAGGATCGACACCTACACTGATCTGATCTCAGTGCAACACCTAACAGTATTGTTTCTATTCCTTTTGCTTCCAGAAGCTTTCCTTCGCATTGTAAAATGTTATGAATACGTAGTGTAGTAACAGGAAAAATGTGGTTAAAAAATTAAAGCAAGAGATCCTACCAATAAAAGTTACAAAATTGGACAGTGCTATGTAGTTTCATTTTTGTTTATTTTAAAACATTAAACTCAAGCCGAATAGAAACCACAGAAGTTACATTTAGGTTTTTTAGTATTTGCAAAACAAAAATTACAGTAAAAAATAGCTACCATACAATCAAGAAAACTACAAAAGAAAAAAGGAAAGATACAAAATGGGCTCACTCTTCAGTTTAACCCTCACAATTTAAAAACATTTTAGGTAAGTGCAGGAATACTTGAAAGGAACTAGCAGGTCCAAAGGTTTAAAAAAAGTATATATTTATATATTATACATATATGTATATAAAGTGGTATGATATACAGCCATTATGGTTAAGAAGAAAACAAAAGAATTAAAAAAGGCCAGTTACATGTTCACCAGTAAGTTTCCGTGCACAGTGTCAAAAACAAATAAAAAAAGCTTCCCTCTTAAAGATGATGGCTAATTAAACCCACAGGGACCTCCCAGCTCACACTTGCTAACAAGGGACCCAACCTGAGGCATGCCATGCCACAGCTGGGCCACTAGGGTTTGATCCAAAGGAGACTGAAGTCAATAAGAGTCTCTCCCACTGACTTCAGTTGCCTTTGATTTTGGGCCCCTGGAGACGTCTGCTGGTTGATTTGGAATGGGAGGTGGTTTGCAATTGCATGGCACAGAGAGATGCAGTACTGAAAACAGTGCCTAGAAAGCCCCTGATGGCAGAGTTACCCTTGTTAGATTAACACATCACACTTTGCATATTGTTTTACAATTCATGTTGTCCATGCACTCGGACTGATATACAGTTTCACCTCTCTCCAATAAATAAATTGTACTGTCAACAATTCCCAAACCCTTCCCAGTGGTGGGCACCCACCATTTTTACAATGGGAAGGTGAAGCACAGAGAGGCTAATTGATTGGCCCCAAGTCACCTTGCAAATCAGTAGCAATCTGGAATAGGAGTTACAAGTCCAAGTCCTGTGCTTTACCCACTGGTCATCCCCCCTTCTCCACACCTGATGGAGCCCCATGCTTACAGCAGAGGGGCGGGAGGTTCCACTCACCGGCTCTTTTCACAGTTTAGGAATAAGGAACAGTCTAGAATTTCTTACTATGCCGACCACATATCGGTCACACCCCAGTGTCAGCCTCCTCCTGAAGGGGAGATTGGAGTGCAAAGTGAAACACATGCAGGACCAGGGCTGGGTGCCCTGTCCTGGGGGGCTGGAACAATTTGTATAGTGAGTATGCTGGGCACCATTAAACCAAACTATAAACTCTGTATACGATGGAAACCACTTCAGGCTATGGAATGCTGCAGCACCTCCTACACCCCAAGTTCCAGCACCTTGCCCTGCCAAGTCCTCTTTCTCGACGAGCAGCAGAGTCTATCAGAGATTGGTGGAGAATGTTCCATCCGATTCAGTTTGCTGGGGCCTTGTCCAGTTGTGGGAGAATGGGCCTTTTTGTTGCAGTGCAGGAGGCCAGAAGCTTTGCTTCCCTCAATTCTCCTCATTACACCTTGTCTCTACTGGGGAGCCTGGCTCTGTCTAGAACAGAGAGCCATGCCACACTAATGCCTCCCACCCAGAGTTTCAGATCTTCTAGGCTGCACTGTCAGAAATACACCACCCAGGAAACAGGCTGGAGGGAAGGAGTGCTTGGACAGCCAGAATGCACTCCTTTTGGATTTCTGGCCACGTTCCAGGAACAGACCCTGGAGGTGCTGGTTGTGATCAATGCAGCAGAACTCTCCAATACTACCCAGATGTGTTCTGCTGATCCTTGCAATGCAGGGAAAGAAAAAGCCAGAACTAGAGGCCCTTTCTCCCTCAAAGCAACACCGTTCCTTTCAGCACCATGAGGATCTTCGTTATTTACTTACTTCCTTCATCCCTCATCTCCACAGGTCCTGCTGTTTATCATCCGTCTGACAGAGGATGGGAACCCACCTCCCCCTACGTCAGCTTGCAGGGGCCCAGTCAACAGGGTGACACCCTCCCTCTTTCTGCCCCCAAAGGGCTTTGTGGTCTCTCTGCACTGACCTCAAGCCTTGGTTGCTCCCAGAAGAGAGAAACTGGACCCCGGAGTAAGATATGGGCTATTGTCTATGGGCACTATTCTGCGGAGCACGTTGTTCACATGTGCTACCCGTATCATAGTGCCAAGACTTACAAGCAGAGCACAAGGCCAACCCACGAGGCTGCTCTCTCTGGAAAAGCCTGAGGTGTGCACATGAATAGTACAGGTTAGAAAGGAAACATCCGTGCAAATGCCCCCAGGGCCATTCCAAAAACTCCCTGTGCAAAGATGGCCAGTTCAAAGCACTCAAAAGGACATTCTTCTGTGCCCTCTGACTTCTGGCAATACAAATTAATACCTTTCATGTGGGGAGAACTCAGAGGGTGGGTGGGGAGCAATCAAATGCCAACCTCTCCCCAATCAGGTCACGTGATGGATGCTGCAATCTCCATTTGCACCCTTTTATCAGCAAGTAAAATGAATTCAGTTAATATTACATACAGGATACAAACACTACAGTTATTTTCCCAAGACAGCACAAGAAATTCACAGCCAAGTCTTGATTCGATTTCCTTTACAATTACAATGCAGTTCTGAACACGAGAGTCCAACATGCTATTTACATTTCACATTGTGGAGATGTGTGTGTGTGTGTGTGTGCTTGAAAGGTCTCCGTTCCAAAAAAAAAATCAAAATATCATTTGTATGTGATGGAGCCAAAAGAAACCAAACAAACCAGACATGCCAATGACTGCATTTGTGCTTCAAAGAAAAAACAAAACAAAACACCAAAAACCTTTGATGAAGCGTCTTCTCTGCTGCTGTGCCCTTTGTAAGGAAACAGATACTGCCTCTGGTTCTGCTGTAAGCAAGGCGCCCGGAGAGCCGAGTCTCATGTTTCCCCTGAATATCAGAGCCATGTACTAATAAGCCTTTGTGGCTCTGGGTCTGAGATGGTGTGCTGTGGGCAAGTCAGCTGGGACATATATTCTGAGTGATCTGGCATTGATGCTTCACATGTTAAAACGCAATAGAAATTACAAGAGGAAAAAAAGACACTAGTTTTACTCACTGTATCTAAGACTCCATGACCAGTAGTGCCACTTACAGGTTACTCTGCCAAGTGCCTGTCCTGACCCCGCCGGTAATGAGGGGCTGAGTGGGGGAGACTCTGGGACATCCTGAATTTTGAGAGGTGTACTCTGTGGCCATGCTGTGCCCACATGCATTCTGGTTTGCGCACAGACTACACCAGGCTGGTCACTTAAGACTACAGCGATCACGTCACACCTGTGCTAATAAGCACATGCTTCTGGCTCTGCAGCAGATCAGTTAGGACTCGTGCCTAGAAATGGTACACTGCTGCTCAATGATGCATATAAAAAAATAAATAGAAACAGTGTGTTAAAATACAGAGGTCCCAGTATCACATGCAGTGGGACAACAGGGCTCTGACTCTTCACAAAAGTGCAAAATCCATGTCCATAAAGGAAGTCCTGGAATCACACAGTACAGAGAGCACACAGCTCACACTGCAGTCTTGTTTGGCTGGCCACATAGGTAGTGTCCAGTGTCCCACAGGTTTCTTCCTTAAACACACTAAGTCACAGAGCGCAGATCTCCAATCAGCAACTGGCTACAGCCTTTGAACCCTCAGAATGTGTTCTGGACAGTACAAACAATTAAGCCAAGCCTGGATACTGTGGTGAAAGGTATCCCCTCTTCTTAACTACCAGCAATGGCTCTGGCATGCTGACCCCCCTACCTCTAAAGCCCAATGGGAAAAGCCATGTGTCCTTTATACCGAAGTTGCCCACAGCTGTTTGACTGACCTTTATTTCCTGCTCTATGCTTTTTCAACACTCTTAAAAGGACTTCGTAAAGAAGCTGCCCACAGCAGTTTTTGGGGCAGCTCCTCTAAATCTAAGTCTGAATTAGTTGAATCTGGGAAGCCCCTGACAGCCAGCATGGGAAATTATCCAACCGACTAGGGGGAAAAAAATAGAGAACTGTTTCTCTCTAAACTTACAAAATGTGGTTTCAGTTTTCCTCACTTAGTCATATCAGCTGTTACATTATGAGCATCCAATTGTCCTGAGGCTTGTAAGCCAGCAATGCCACATGCTTGTATACCAACCACCCCCTCCCCCCACACACACACGGCTTTAAAGGATCTGGGATGGACATAACTAGCATTTACTCTGAAGCCTCCTCTTCTGGAAAACCAATCCGTGAGCTATTTTCCTTCCTCTTTTCTTCCTCCATTACTCCAAAGGTTGGATGCTAGTCCATTAGTGGCTTCTATCTCCTTGAGAGGTCTCAAAACTACTGCTGCTTTTCTTGGAGAATGTACCATCAGGAAGCACTGACATCCTACTTAATCATCTGTAGAATATGTAAAATGTTTCCAGAGCAGTGATCTCGTTCAGAGCAAAGGCAGATTGCTAGGCTGACTGGTCCATATTATGGACATCCATTATACAGAACAAACTGAAAGATGAAAAAGGAGTTCTGATGCAGTCCGGACATTGTGGTGCTAGATTTGAACCACATTTATCCAATGTATGAGATTTTTGTACTAGACTTCTGTTTCTTGCTCAAGTTTCCCTAAGCAACTAGGTTAAGACAACTTCTACAGAAAGGATGATTCTTTTCTATATCTGGAGTATAAAGTTCATATCCAGTTATCGCACAGGTTCTGGCTGGAGTCTGAGTAAAAAGTGGTTTATGTTCTGTAAGCACCATTCGTTGACTGAAAGTACAGAACTGGTGAAGGATGCTGCCCCCTGCAGGGACGCTCCACTGCCCTTGTGGCCCATGCACAGTGTGCAAGGAGATGTTATGAGTTTATTCACCTGTGCCTTGTCCATGGCAGCTAGTGGTTAGTCTTGGCCAGAACCAAACACAAAGAAACAAAAACAAAACACAAAACAAAACCTCGAACATTCACGTTTTAAGACTTTTTCTGATCCTGGAGCAGAGCAAAGGAGGCTGCAACCTTACTGTTCTTATGACAAGTTCCGGGCTGAGGCGCAGGATCCTTCTCTAAAGCCAACGCCTCGAGACTTTACTTTTCTATTCCAAATATAAACAAAAGAGTCCAACAATGGGTTACAAGTCACTCCTTGCATTTGCTACCAATCCACTAGACTTTATAATCTCACTTGCTGTGGCAAGTTGACTATCCACGAGACCTAATGCCAGGCTATTGCCCTAGAGATGTGAAACTATTTAGTGCAAAAAAAAAAATCTTAAATTTCACAAAGTCTTTTCCCGGAAAAATTTGGCACTAAGCAGGTTGCTGGCTCCTGTGCGTTGTACGCGCCCAGTCTCACTAAAGCAGTGCCCAGAATGCCCTCTCTGAGTAAGGGGCTCCCCTGGTGGAACAGAAAGGTCAGGCTCACAGCAATGGGCCAGTGAGGGGGTGCATCTGAGACATCTGGCTTGTGCTGAAAACTGCCTGCTTCTCCTCAAGAATGCAAAAGCTGGTTATAAAGGGGAAAGAAAAAGCTTTCTTAAAAAGTCACCAGAGGAGAGAAGGGAGCCCAGGTCAGATTCCCAGCTAACAGTGGATATCCAGTGACACAGGAAGGGGGCCTCCACAGAAGACAGCAGACAAGAGAACTTCTTTAGAAACACTAGGTACATGGGAATTTAAGACTGTACATAGGCATGGCTTTCTCGATCTGTACAGTACAGCTATGGGCTTCAAGCCTCTGCTTCTCCAATGCACTGCAGACTGGATCACTTCACAGCACGGAAGATTAGCAACATTTTTCCATCCAGTCCCTCTGTGGAATAGAGAGGGCAGGGGAGACTGAAGTAACAATATTTGCAAATGTTTCCTGATAGGCAGTTGACAAAGCTGGTCCCAGATAGATGAATCCCAGACAAGCTGGTGATTTTGCACAGGTTCTTGCATGCTTTCTCTCTCTCTCTCTCTAGATACAACTAGGTATAGGCTTAATTGGAAAGGGGGTTCCATTCAGATTGCCAATGTACAGGTACCAGGCTGAAGGAGTGGTCCGTATGAGAGAAGCAGAAGTTGTGCTGGGTTTGGGACAGGAAAGCAGGGTTGTTCTACATGGACAGCACAGGGTAGCAGCAGTTGGCACATTTGTTTAGTTTTACTGTGTGTATATGTTTTTAATGCACACTGCCAGAGTCTGGACGAGGTTGGTTGGTAGCGAGGTATTTGGCTCTCATGCTGGAGGTGTACTGGAGGAAGACAAAAAAAACAGACAGTAAGTCAGAATGATTGATGTGAACTCTGATTCAGACTATTAGCACCTCTCAGCTCACTTGGTTTAATATTTACTGCTTACCATCGAGTCCTGAGCACCGTCCTTTGAGGCTCTAAGACACAATCTTTCATAGTCCATTACATAGTCAATTCTGAGTGACTAAAACTTCTACACCTGCTACAAAAGGATGCTGGCTGAGGCCCTCAGGTAAGGACTAGCTGATCTAGTCAAGATGGAAATACCAGTATCGAGAAGCAACAGATAAATTCAGAATTTTTGGATTTAATAGGGAGAAGAAGAATGCACGTATAAAACCCCCTCAGTCACAATTTCAGTAGCTCTGCAGTTAGATTGCCACCTTTAGCCTAGAAGATGGGGAGGTTGGGGGTAGGTATGATCCATGTTCTCAGGAGAAGAAAGAAGTTAAGCCACCATATGCATCAAGAATAACTTAGAAGAGGTTAGCTGAGGTTCCACACAGGGTAGTCAAATGCTCACAAAGGCTGACCACACAGCTGGAACGAGATCGATATCCACTAACAGGGATGGTTAGTATCAAATCCTGGCTTTGGACACAGGTTTCCCACAGCCTGGCAGTAACAAGGACCGATGGTGGGGTGTGGGTGGAAATTCATGGTGACTAGGATTTGTTTTTAGAAGATGACTCCAATGGTGTTCGATAGCTGAATTACACAAACCCATCCAAACCATCTTCAGTTTTGCTAGAGCACAGCAATGAAACCCACAACACCAGGACTTGTACACAGCAGAGAGAACAGACACCCAGCGCCTTCATGCAGACATAAACATGTTACTGTCTCCAGATGGAATTCCACCTTGTGTTCCTCTGGCTTAATAAGGGCTTTACAGTTGGACAAAAAGGAGAAGCAGATGTCAGCAGGGTTAATTCCTGCTTCCCACCTTTACAAAGAGGTGCTAGGAACTCTCTCTACTTCCTGATAATGCTGCTCACAAATGCTGATTTTTCAGTGCCTTTAAGCTGTGTCTCTGAAAGTGGCAAGTTCACCTAGCAACAACAGATATGTAGTTCTATAACTATGGGTACAAATTAGACTCCACTATGAACCACCTTTCCCATCTGATGAGACCACTGAAGTAGGGATGTAAAATCCCTTTTAATTAATTAGTTAACTAGTTAAACGTAATGATTAACTTAATGTTTATTGGGTTAACTGATTCAATGAGGGTGGGCGGGAGCTATTGCGGTGCATGAACACAGGAGAGACCAGAGCACAGCAGCGGTCCCCAACGCGGCGCCTGCGGGCGCCATGGCACCTGCCGGGGCATTTATGTGCACCCGCCGAGTGATCAGGGCTGGCCCTGCCGCAGGCGCGCAGCACATGTGCTGTGGTGGCCCTGCCCCTGGGCACACGCCGCATGCGCAGCCCCAAAAGGTTGGGGACCACTCGTGTACAGTAAGAGAATTTCGATATTGTTCTGCCAGTGTCAATGTTATACAATATCTCACCACCGCCGAGTACAGTACATGGCCTCTCAGTTGTATTAGCTTCGAGAGATGCTGATACTTCACTTGTATACTCAATGATTGCTAATTTTTAAGAGCCTTCCTCCACCTGAACCGAGAGGGGACACAGGTGTTCTGTGGTAACAATTAGGGATGTGAAAGGTTAACTGGTAAGCATCATCTTACACAAATGATGTTTACCAGTTCTGGTGAATTGATACCTAGTATGGACTGAAGTGTGCAGTGGGCTGCTCCAGCCTCGCAGGCAGCCTGTTGTACCTCTTGATTGGAACAGCCCCTATCAGCAAGGAGTCTGGGCCTCCCACAAACAAGGGCTGCTCTGGTGGGGGCTGGGAGCCCTCTGGGCCGTAGGAACAATGACCCAGCCTAGCACTAACTTCTAAATGTAGAAGAGCATGGTATGTCCTGCTGTGTCCTGGGTCCTCTTATTATTGAGAAAAAGAAAGGATTTTTTTTTTCAAAAAAAGGAGTCTAGCCAGTACTATGGGTGATATTCTACAGCAGAGGGTAATTACAGTTGCCCCACAGCCCGCCAAAATAAAGTTTGGGACTGCGATGGAAACACACTGACTAGTTGAATGCAGTAAGCTCAAAGTGGTTTAACTCTAAGTTCTCCTCTGAGAAGCCCATATAAAAAGTCGAGAGTATTTCAAGGACTGCAAGGCAGAGCTGGATTCTCCCACTGGCGTCACTCAAAGCAGAAGAGGCTTCTAAAAGGAGACTTTTCCAGACAGCAGCACTCCATCTGTGTGGCGTGGGTGGGAAGCAGAGTGGGTAGAAGAGAAGTGGATAACTACATGAATTCCATCCTCCAAAAGGTTCTCAAAGGCAGGAGCGCGTTTAGCTAGAGAACCTTGGAACACTTTTTACACCCCTTCCTGGGCTGATCATACATGAAGACCTGCAGCAGCCTTCTGTGGAAGAACCATTCAATAAAAAGAACAGCAATCTAGTGGGGTGCGTTAAAGAATGAACCAGATACACCTAGTGGCATTCACCGGCCAAAAGATATTGGACTTGTTCCAGTGTATCCAGGATACGAAGTCTGAATAGCACCAAAAATAGAATAAATTCAGACTGAAGGGAAAATTGGATAGAAAGTGAAACAGAGGGTATTGTTTTAAATGCAAAACCTACCTTAAAACCACCATACAATGTCATGCAAGCTGAGAAAAGCCATGGAAGTCAGAATTAAGGCCCATTTTCTCAATCTGTGAATCTTGTCCCTTAGGCCATTGTCAATGTTACAATTTTCAACCAACTTGTAACCAGTTACTGCCAAGGTTAGCTCTAAATAGGGTTGTGCATCCACACACAACATAGTTAGAGCTTTGTAGCAAGGCAGCTAACAGCATTTTGCTCCTCTGAAGTCAGACCAACACTTCTTAAAACAGCTCACCTCATTGTTCTGCGAGTGTACACAGGACCCCTAACAGGGCTGGCTGGTCCTCAGAGTGCATCACCCCACTTGCTACAGATACCACTATGACATGTTACTCCTGGAGCACACTTCCAAGGGAACACGGGAAAGAGCTCAGAAAGATGCTAACATCAAGGTGGGCTCATAGATACAGGCGAACAGAGAATTACAACATCAGGAAGATTGCCAGGATACAACCAGAATTGAATTACCGGTAACCATTAAAGTGACCAAACATCTAACTGCATAAAAAGCCACTATTGTATATTGTTACAATGTGGACAATTTGGAGGGGAACAAACGCAAAAAACGTTTGCAGCTAAGTCACAGTACCATCCTCAAGTATCTGACACAAGCTTGAAGTTTTTGAGGTAGACAGTTGTATATAATTTCCTTAAAAAAAAAAAAAAAAACACAACCAGCTTTCATAGAAGGTTATAAAATCATGTACTCTGGATCCTTCCAACATTCTGGCTATGACTCTCCAGGTACCTATAAACCTGCATTTTTTCTTTTTAAAGCCACTTAAAGCAATACAATTTTTAATGTTTATTTTGGTCATTTTGTTAGTTACTCTATTGGGCCATCATGAACGATACAGTAGATGGATATTTTGATTGTTCTGATGTCTTGTGCTTTGACACCACCACTTACCACCCGTCAGTAAGAAATGCTATGGTACTGAGTACATTGGGGTGAGGGAGAGCACCGTGTCTTGCAAAGATGTTACAACACCAATGAGCTGAGCCCCCACTGAGGGAAAAAAAACAAAAGTTCTCCCAGCATACATTGGCTAAGTAGCTTATACTTTGCAAACATAAAAATTCTTGGCTGCAAAAAAAGACACACACTCAGTTATTTCAGTTTAAGAGCATGTATTTGAACACAAACCAGGTAAATCTTGTGGTTTTAGTGATAAAACATACCAGTGATATGCAAAGACTGTACCAAGTACATGCACCATACCCATCCAACAGAACCCTTGCATATTCTTATGGGGGCATGGGAGGAATGTGGTACTTATGGATGGCAGCTTCCTTTAAAAAAAAAAAAGCTAAAATCCCCAACACTTATCCAGGTTCAATCAGCCACAACTTGAAGCTTCTAGGCTTGAATTTTATTTAGTTTATTTATACAATTATCAGACAACTGTTGTTGTAATAAAAAAAAGATTTGCTTTTTTTTTTTTCCCAGGGCAGGGAGACAGGGCCAGTCAGCAGATTCTGAAACCGAAGAGTTCTAATATTTAGGAGAACTGTACTTAGAAGCAGGGCTTAAGAGATGCACAATTTCTGCGATCCTGGGGAGAGAGTGAAAGAATTTTTCACCTTTTATTTTTGCAAAGCCGTATATGGACTCTGCATCTTTTGGTACAGAGAAAAGATTCTAGGCAGAGACTGTGTCAAGTTTCAGTCCAGAGACTATTTTAAATCCCGAGTCAAATCCCTGTAAAACAAGGTTTACAATAAACAGTGTTGATAGACCCTTAAACACAATGGTGCCAAGAACACCACTCTAATACCTGCAGGAATAAGGAAGCAGGAAAGCACCAAGCGCTGATGCCTAAAGAAGATCCCTGCACGAGTGCTCTAAGAGTGGAGAAAGCTGGGACATTCTGCAGAGCACAAGCATCATGCATTAATTGTTCACGTAGATTTTTCCATTCAGACACTGGCCACAGACTGCATCAAGGCAAAACTATTGCCCCCACCCCATAATTCAGCCAGCATATTAGACATCCACAAGCACATCACAAAGCAGAGCAAACAAAAGGCACGAACGCAGGCCAAGCAGTGACATGAGAAAAATGGTATCTCAGTGAGATGACAGGATGTGGAATAACAGCAGATTTATGTACAAATATGTCTGGGGATGGGAGGCAAACTGGATTGTGGGCCATACCAACCCAACTGGAAAGGAGCCTGCACTCCCAACAGTGCTAACATTTTCCATTTTGATTCAGTGGTGATTCGAGTTGTCTTTGTACTGATCACAACATTGTTTATCCCAGTTATAGTGTGCTGCCCAGGAATTCACGTTATACAACATGCTCCTGAACTCAACCAAGGCACACAGTTCATGAGCTATAAGACCTGGTGCCAACCAGTTACTCATTCCTATTGCAACTAGTTCTGGTTGCCAACCACTAGGGGGAGGGTAGGAATATGGCCTATCCTGGAAGCGGATTGTCATCACAGCATATACACTAGTTACACTGACAACGAAGCAGTGCTAGGAAAGGACTCATTGGCACGCCATCCACAGTATATGCAGGACACTGAGGGAATGCTTTTGGCATAAAGAAGTATTGAAACAGAACTAGGCAGAATCAAGAATGTTAGTGCTTGTGTCTTTACATCAGGGAAAAGTCATTTACTTATAACCCTGAATGCAAGGATATAATGGAAAGCTGCATATGAGCTCGCAGTACAGCTGATAGTTCTAACAAGCAATGTGCAGGAGCAATTCTGGTTGGGTTTAAGATTCTTTGGCAGATCTTAATGAAAGTAGCAGAAAAAACTCTGGTTTCTTGCACATGCTATTGTATAGGTGAGCAAAGGAGTACTGATAAGGGTCAAGGGAAGCCAGAGGTGGTAACAGCTAGCCAGTCCCTATTAAATATATATATAGCTATGTTGATCCATATTACTGTTAGCAAGTGGATACACAGGATGAGGTTGTAGTGTGGGGCACTCTTTGATGCCAGATGTGGATACTGTTCCTCCACTTGGAATCTGTGGATTAAAGCAGCAGTGACTTTGGTTCCACCCTGAGGTATGGCTCTCTGGCTGTCAGAACGCATACAAGAAGCCTTGCCATAGTGAAATGTGGATACTGCTCCTTTAGTGAGCACCAGGGCAACCCTGGTTAGCGTCAACCCTTGGCAAGAGGGAATGCGGAGAGGTGCGGGGGAAGGAATGTGAAGAAATAATGCGCTGGCCTGAGGTAAACAGTGCAAGGTTGAGCGAGAAGGACCTTATTTCAGTACCTGTTCCATTTGCGGGCGCTGTTACCAGTACCTCCGTGCACTGTCCGAGGGCTTAAACTGCCAGCTCATATGGCTGCTACTGTCCATGGCAGCCAAATACAACTGTGATGACGCAGGAGAGAGAGAGAAAAAGAGAGTGCAGCCTCAACGTGCATGAAAAACACAGTGCAAGCAAGTGACACGCTGTGGTGTGTGCCAGTGACAGGGAGGGCTCTACCACCCTACGGGAATAGCCCTGGGACAAGAAGGAGGAGAACGATGAAAGGAATGACAGGGGGGGAAAAAGAATAGACAAACAATACAGTAGGTGATTAGCTCTTCTAAGGTCATCATGTCTGTCACAACCTGTTCCCACAATGAAAGTGGAGAAGGATACATCAGTCCTGGTCATGCACTGTCTCTTTACTCTGCCTGGGTGGTTCCTTTTTGCAGATCTCCGACATCCCTTCCCCCAAACAGGTGAACATGACTGCTGATATTTTTTCTGCGCACCCCCAAACTGCAGGGATTGTTTGCTGAATAAATGGGCTCAGTCTCCCCCTCACTTTTGAAATAGCCTCAGTTACTGAACACAAAGATTTGCCTACATATACTCTGGAGGATCCTCTACCTTAAGTGTCAAACACAAAGGGATTCATTCCCTTCCCTCACCCAAATGGTCTGTGAGCACTTTCGGAGGCAGTTCCTTCTATGTGGAATGCACATCCTCCTTCAGAAACTGAATTTTCTCCACTGCTTCTGTGCCGTTCCCTTCTCCTTGTATCCCAGTTTTCCCTGCCAGGACCATGCTCTCACCCCTACCTCCCACAGGTAGATAATGTCATCCCCCACATCCCTCTGGCTGCCCTCAAGTGAAATTCCTTTGAAAAAAACCCTTACCAGCATCTCTCCTCAGAAACAGTTGGAGGCACCAAGATTTAGCTCCACATTCAGGGCCATTAATGCAACCAGCTACTGAAGAACCAGGGAATCCTCTCCTCATGGTTAGAGCTCCTGCAGAAAGAAGCCTCCTTTCTTTGAGGCAGAAGAGCTAGGGGGTGGGAAATGCTGTATGGCAAGACCTTGCCTCAGAGGAATAAGATGAATAGGTCTGTGCAGCATTAAAGGGACAGTGCATTTGCTGTAACAGAATTCCAACAGTACAGCAGTGGTTTATGACACTACATTGAAAGCTGCGGCGACTTCTCTGCAGCCAGCCCCATTGCTGAGAGCTGATAACACGTTCTAAGTTCAAGCACTGAGTGTCAGGGACCCGAAACACATTTTTTGTTCATTTTAAGCAAGCTTCAAGAAGTCTGGCCAATCTATGAGAAATATAAAAATAGGTGCTGGTCTTCCTGTTTTCTAAATTTAGAAGAGGCAAAGCTTTTGTTGTATCAAGGCCCCATTCAGTGAACCAGGCTTAGCCCATGTGGTGTGGGCTTTCGATTAATTATAACCAGTGAGGCCCTATTAACGATGAAATCCTGTGTCCTCAGGTACAGTTAGCAGGATGGTTAGTTAGCATTCCGATGGCCCATGACAAAAGCTGGTATGGTAGTAATGAAATTTACAGTATCTAATTTTTTATATGCATAAATAAAAATCCATATTTTACTCAGACTAAAATGGCTCCCATGCTACTTCAAGCTCCTGATTACCAAAGAACCTTCCATGAAAGATTTTTTCTTCTCTTTAGGAAATTAGATACAAAGACAACAATTCAAAGTTGTGAAACAAAAAACAAACTCCTTCAAAAATGCAAACTTCATCCTCTTGTTTTCACAGTGCAAATTAAGGAGAGAGATTCTGTAATACTGCTGGATTTACTGGCTCATCAGTTTTTCCAAACTTAAGGACCAAGCCTGCAAACAGTAACTGTGTGAGGGACAGCCACCTCACTGAAATCATACAAAAGTAACTCACAAGCTTAAGCGATGGCAGGATGCGTCCAGAGAACTATTAGCTCAAACTTAATATGAAAAATGTTCACACATACATTAGTTCTGGGGGAATTCTGTAATTGTTGCATTTGGAGCCATCGTAAAATTGCAGAATTCCTCCAGGAATTAGTACATGCCCCAAGTAGCATACTGGGCTTTTATTCTCAATGGCAGCTTAGACACAGCTTGCCTGCTAAGTTTTCCACCGTTTACGAAACAGAACTTCTGCCTTGAGCTGCACAGTCAACTCCTTCTGAAATACATGGGAGTGGCATGTGCATCTCTCCAACGCAGAACTCCATCTGAGATGGGGCAGAGAAGCAGTCAAAAGGACTTACTGAGGGAGGTGGAGACTCCCGGCCAATCAGAGGCGTGTTCTCACAGCGAGGGTTCTGGAAGTTTGCATTCTGGCTCCTATAAAAGGAAAATATGAATAGTGAGAGAGGGACACATGGCACACAAAATTCTCCAGCACAGGGACTTGTGAAATGAGGAGATAGTGCCCTGCATTTGGGTTATTACCTCCCACAGATACTCTCCAGAATCATAATTCAATTCCTTGGAAAACTTTTCCTGCATACCAAAATGGGTCACATCCGCCTGGATCCATGCAATCCTAAAAAGGGTGCCTATCCATCTCAGAGAACCTGTGGCACTCTACATAAACAATTAAAATGAAGCCAGCCTTCTTTCCCAAAAGCGAACAGCCAGAATAAACATGGGTGAACCAATCCAACAGACAGGCCTTGCAGACAGACACTCTCAAGGAAGGAGTTCTCTAGAAGGGATACCTAAAAGCTTAGACTGCCCTGCATAAACTAAATAGCAAAGGCAGATGAGATCAACTGCCATGGGAGAACAGTCTAAAGCTGCTGTTATTGGATCTCCGCCCATTCAGGAGGCTTAAAACTTCTCTTGCAAAGCAGTTACTTCTGAACTGTCCCATCTAGGAACAAAGCTTTTAATGTAGTGACTGGTGACACTTTTAGTTCCCTTCTATAGGCAACATTGTAAATCCTCAAACATAGGGCAACAATATTTTCTAGTCATACACCCTGTGTAGTTATTTCTGTGAGGACAGAAACACTTGTCCTTGCTGGAAGTAAAAAAGATCACTAAGATCAAGTGATAAACAGAGCCTTTTATCACTCGGCCCCTCGGGATTATCACACTGCTGTTAGTAAGCTTGTTTGCTCTCCAGAGCAGCTGCTGCTGCTAAAAAAGTGTTTAAGTTATGCTGTGCAATTGACACCTGGAACTGACGTACAGAAAAGCAGCTTGAACAGAGACAACTACAACATGGTTCCTCTCCTCTCTCCTGGCTACTCACATGTACTCGGTGACAGGAGCATTGCTCACTGTGTGTGCTGCTGCTGGAATGCTGTTCTCACTGCCGTAGCTACTCCCACAGCTATAGAGGCTGGGCATGTGCACCCTGTACAGATTATCGTGGGTTTGTCTGTTCCCTTGAGCAGCAGATTCCTCCTCTCCATCATCATCTGAGCTCCTGTAGGAAAGAAAAGTTGCTCCTAATAGCCTAGAATTGTTATGTTAGTGGCGCCTGCAAGAAACCAGAGCACATGGTAATCCCAGTAACCTTCTAATCCTCCTCCGCACATCCCCCCTAACAGCCAGTCACTGTGCACCTCAATATGGCAGCATAGATACAGACCACAGCAAGCATCTCCTCCCCAGCCACCAGAGTGACTCAGACCTCCCACAAACGCCATCTGGACTCTGACTGCAACATCTTCCCCAGTATCCAAAAGTCCTTTCCACAGGGCTTAGCAGATCATGCAACTCAGCAGCTCCCCCAACCATATAAACAGGAGCATGAATACTCTCAAGAACACTCAGCGCTTGTTTAAATGGGGGTACCAGTTGCAGTATGAATCTTGGACCAGGTCTCCCTCAGAAACCATACTGAAGTTGCACTTCGCTGTGTACATCTATTTCTTGACTGGATTTCTAGAGGTCTTCATGGGACATACCATAAAAGAAGGTTGATTCTGCAGTAGTTCTACTCAAGGTCTTCAGTGGCACTTCATGGTCAACTCCTTTCAGAGTGGCTACAGAAAAGGTCCCTTTATTTCACTGTGTAAAAGGACAAACTTTTGGAAGCCAGTGCAGCAGGGTTTAGTTTCTGTGGACTTAAGGTAGGAATGTAAAATCCCATTTAAAATGTTAACTGATTAAACGTCTAGTTGAACCGGTTAACCAGCTAGTGGTGCAGTGGGCCCAAACAGCACCACAGGCAGGGGGCTGCTCCGGTAGGGCCAGGCGCCGGTTAACCCAATAAGCATGCCACTAAGCAAGGGGTAACAGGTTAACCCTTTACATTCCTAAATTAAGGCATCTTTTGCCTAAGCTATTTCTTCCTATCCTGAAGGACAAAGTCCTTGCTACTTTAAAGATCTGATTCTGATGTATTTGTCTGGACTACTGTTGTCTTGGAGTCAATGTTTATATCTATATCTTTGGGATTGTAGGATGAGACTTATCTAATATTTTGTGAATGGAAGCATTGATTTTATGAGAAACATGTACTTTATGAACTGAACTAGTCACTTTTTTCCAAAGGAGAACTGCACACAAAGCTCTAGTTAACAGTGGCATCCTCTTATTCAACAGATGTCTCAAGTGCAACAGCAAAATCTATGAATTTTAAACAAATATGTATTTTTGCTATTTTACTCTTATGCCCTGCAGAGCCCACCCCATCTTTGAAAGTGGTCTCTGAATTTTATTTCTTCCTAGACAACAAAATTGCCTTACAATTGGAATAACTCTGCTCTGTCTGTGCCAACCCATTGAACGAGTTTGCCCTGCACACCTTTATCACTGGTGATGATGCACATGGAAAAAACCCCACCACACAAGCAAACCACCTGAGAAGGAGAAAGACACTCTCCACATTTCCCTTGCACGCCAGAGCCTAGGGGGGCCCAGCCTAGTAGACTGTCTGCTCCAGTCCCATGGTGGGGCAGTGGGTGGGGGAAGGAAGGCTGGAGTGCCAGCACACAGGGTCCCCAATACAAGGGGACCCTCCAAGCCTCAGGGGCCAGATACAGGCAAGCTGGAGGCTTCTCACCTCTGGTTTAATTGGTTAACCGGTTAACTGGTAAGCCTTATAGCTGGTGGGAGCTGGAGAAGTCTCCCGCCTGTTGTGGGCAGGGGGCTGCTCGGGCCCCCCGTGGGGCTAATCATAGACAGGGGTTGCGCTGGCTGGGCTGGAGGAGCGTCTGTGGCAGGCTGAAGGCCCCACAGGTAGGGGCTGCTCTGACCAGGAAGCAGAGCAGCCCCTGCCTGCAGGGCACGCTGGCCTGCTGCAGGCAGGGCCTGCTCTGGTGTCTCAGCCAGTGCAGTCCATGCCCAAGGAGAGAAGGGGTGCTCCAGCTGAGCTGGGGCATCTTAGAGATGTTAAATATCGGATAACTCAATAGTCGATTAACTTCATGAATTCTTATCGGTTACTCGACTATTCTAGAAGTCCCCGGGGGTGGGGCCAGCAGCCAGTGTGCTCTGGCCACACACTCGAGGAGCTCCCTGCCATTCCATGCTACTGCCTCTGTATCAGAGGTAGCAGCATGGTGTGCCAGGTGGGAGCTGGTCCACGAGGGAAGCCATTTTAAAAACCAGCTACCTTTGAGGACTGGCTGCCTGTCACCCTGTGTTGCTGCCTCTGATAAAAAGGCAGCTGTGTGGGGTAGCAGCAGCCCATCTGGGAGGGAGTGAGAGGAAGACAGGGAGGCTGAGTTCCCAGACCCAGCGCAAGCCAGAACTGAGCTGGGCTGCTTGCCCACCTAGCTCCTAATACACTTTAAATGCAGAGCTGCAGTGCTAGTAGGTCCTGGACCCAGCATGAGGCAGGACTGAGCCAGGCTGCTGGCCAGCCTGCTAAAAAATGTACTGGCTGGGTGTGTGTGTGAGAGAGAAATGCGTGTAGTCTATAGCGTTAATCTATAAGCTTTTGCTTATTGGTTAGTCGACTATACTATTACATCCCTACATAATACCTTAGGTAAGTCTCCTTTTCCTAAAGGCAGAGATCAGTTTTTGAAAGTCTGAAAAACACTTTTCTAAGCCAAGGTACATTTCCAACAAGGGATGTTAAATTAATTTAATCAACTAGTTGATGGATTTTTCGTCAGCATCTTCCCCCACTTGTCCCCCCCCTTTAATCTGTTACCCTGGTTAAACAAAATGTTTAGCCAACTAGCCAGTTAAACAGGATTTTACATACCTCATCTGAACCCAACCTACATTGTTTTTCCTGGTGCTGTATTCCTCTCCCCACCCTGGCATTTAGCCCCACCCCTACGTAAAAAAAAAAAAAAAAAAAAAAATCTAAATCAAATTTATCAGGAGCAGACAGCATGAGCCTCCTGTGAGGGTGTTATGGAAGGATGATAATAGATATTACATAGCACTTTCCAAGAGAGATCTCTACTATTCTTGACGCATTTCAGATCCATGACTCGCAGATCCTGAGCCACTCAGTACAGCTTGTTATTAGGACATAAAGCAATGGGCATAAATTGCAGCAAGGGAGGTATAGGTTGGAAGTTAGAAAAACCTGCCTCACTGTCAGGGTGGTTAAACACTAGAATAAAATGCCTAGGGAGATTGGGGACTCTCCGACTCTGAAGATTTTTAAGAGCAGGTTAGACAGACAAACATCAGGTATCATCTAGATGGTGCTTGATTCTTCCATGAGTGCAGGGGACTGGACTTTATGACCTCTCGAGGTTCCTTCCAGTTCTAGTATTCTAGGATTTTTGTTAGGTCACTGGAGATGGTTTCAGACAGTGCAGGTGTTTCTCAGGCATAGGTCAACAGTAGCTTATTCCTGAAACCAAGGCTTGTAATTCTGGACAAGCAGATGACAGCAACAGAGTTGGTTTAAGTCTGAAGAGACCATTATATCAAAAACCACATATGCCTGGAACATGTATCTTAATCCTTGAAATGTTTTTCTAAATATTTAGAACAATCATATCACACTGCTAGAGACAAGTTAAGATTTTATTCATTATAATCTACAACTCAGGATTATTTTTAGAAAAGTGTCTGAAAGGAAACACACTAGGCAGAAAGGAACCACGTCTCAAATCCAGACATCGCATTTCCCACCAGCTGAACGCTGTACACATTACGTTAATGATGGCAAGCCCAAACTGACAGTCTCCTGCACAGCCTGCACCTTTCTTTAGCTTGGAAGAGCAGATTCAGATACATCATTGCCCATCCCTTGAACTGGGTGGCATGGAAATTTGAGCCATTGTAAGATTTCATCACTGTTTCACCTCTAATTAACCAACCCTTTCCCCCAGGTCTTGACAGTGGAACTTATTAACAATGAGTAGCCCTGTCACACACTAGAGACTAACTATATGAGTATCATGAGCTTTTGTGGGCAAAACCCACTTCTTCAGATGAGCTTAAATATATATATTTGTTAGTCTCTAAGGGTACATCTACACTGCACGCTTATTTTAAAACAGCACGTTGACACTGCAGGGAAGCCTCAAAATTAGTCCAAGGCAGATTTCCCTAAAGTAGACATTAGATCTCGATTTAGAGACCTAGGAAGTACTGGGGAGGAATAACTTAGAATGGCCCTGGTAAGGGACTATTTCAAAATAGCAGCAGTGGAGCATCTATACATGCCTTATTTCGAAATAGCTGTTTTGGGATAGGTGTTATTCCTTGTAGAATGAGGCTTACAGATTTTGGAATAAGCTGCCCATTATTTCGAATTTATTTCTAAACAGAATGGCTGGGTAGATGCTCACATTATTTCTAAATAATGCTAGTTCTCTCAAAATAATGGCACAGTGTAGACACACCCCCTGGGACCATGGAACTACTTGTTTTAAAGTTACAGGCTAACACAGCTATCCCTCATGCAGCAGAGCTTACTGTTAAGACTATACAAGTCAGGATGAGATAAAGCACCTTTGCATGGATGGATAGTGGGTAGTCAAATTAATGAATGTTTCCTATCAATATTGGCTAGGAGGTGGACCAAACAAGCTAACAGAATGACTTCTCCAACCTCTATGATACAGGATGAGTTATCCCACCTCATCTTGTCAGCTGCCAGTACTTCCAGTATCACAAGGTGACAGTGAAGTTTTACTAAAGGAAATACAGGGTATGCCTCCTCCACTTATCCGTGAGGGAAGCCACTTCCTGAAACAAGTGTTAGAGTAAATATACCAGCTTGATATGTAGCTCTGTTTTTGCTGCTGAATATGGAAAGAGCATCAAAACCCCCAATAGTTTTCTGAAGAGATATATGGATACAATTTCCAAAGTGTTTTTTGGTAGGAAGAGCAGCTAGGGTTGCCAGGTGTCTGGTTTTGAACCGGACAGTCCAGTATTTGAGCTCTCTGTTCGGGAAACAAATTGAGAAAATATAAATGTCCAGTATTTTCCTAAATAGGATGCAACGTAGACTGTGATATAGTGTCAAGTGTGCCCGGTATTTTTGTTAAAAGCATCTGGCAACCCTATGAGCAGCTTTCGCCGCCACAGGAAATCTTCCTGATATTGGATTGCCTCCAGTTCTGTACACTGAGCCTAGGACATTCTTGAAAATCACCTAATATTTAGAGCAGTGTTTTTTTCAAACAGGTAAAGGAAAAGCTAAAAATCCAATGCAACTGTGGCGGGTTATGAGGGTGCGAGCTCCGCACCCCGCCACTCCCCCACGTCCCGGGACGGGGCCGGTGGAGTGGGGGTGGGGCTCCGCGAACCCGCCGCCTCCGGGAGTCTAGTTGGCCCTGGATTCGGGGTCCGTAAGTGTGCGGGGGCTGGGTGCGATCACCCCTTGCCCTGTATGGGCCAAGGGGGTTCGGCGGACCCGGCCCAGTGCCTTCCCGGGCGGCCCCCGGCCGGGGCTCTTGAGCCGTCCCTCTTGTCTCAGTCTCTCTCTCTCTCGTTCTCTCTCGGGGAGGGGTAGTGTGCCAGGCTATTACAGCCTCGGGGACCTCCTCCGAGGTAGGGGGTGTGGGGAGTGGGGGGACCCAGGCCCGCCCTCACCACCGGGTCCCAGCCCGAGGCCCTAAGTGGGGTGGGTGCTTTAAAGCGATCCCCCCACGGCAGGCGGGGCAGCCGCCCGAAACTCGCCTGCCCACGGGCGCCAAAATGGTCCCGCCTCAGACTCCTTCCAATCCCGAGCCGCCGGCCCCCCCGGGCCGGTGCAAGGTTAAGTCACTTACCCCATCCAGTGGTGGGGTGCAGGTGCCCGAGCCCAGCTGCAGCTGGGTCCCTTTAAGTACATTTCCCTGTGGGGGTCCGGCGCATGCCCACAGACGCTGCTGGTGACCTCTTGACATGGCCGATTTCCTTCTGGAGACATGTTCTTGCGCAAGGGCTTCCCGCCAGTGTGGACGTTTTCTTGTGCAAGAGCTCAGGGTTCTTACTATGTGGTTCTGGCCAGTGTGGATGTTTTTTTGAGCAAGATATTCCTGCGCAAGAACCCGCCAGTGTAGACATAGCCCTAGAGAGGTCATCAATTCTAATCCCCTGCCCTCATGGCAGGACCAAGCACCATCTAGATCATCCCTGATAGATATTTATCTAACCTGCTCTTAACTATGTCGGCTTCTTCCCCCGCCCCTAGTGTGGACCCCGCTGGGTCCATCACACAACATGTTATGATAATAGAATCATAGAACTGGAAGGGATTTCAAGAGGTCATCAAGTACAATCCTCCTGCATTCATGGCAAGCATCATCTAAGACAAAGCTGGACAAACACTGGCCTCTGGGCTGGATCCAGTCCACCAGAATTAGTCCCTGGGGCTTCTTCCCCCGCCCCTAGTGTGGACCCCGCTGGGTCCATCACACAACATGTTATGATAATAGAATCATAGAACTGGAAGGGATTTCAAGAGGTCATCAAGTACAATCCTCCTGCATTCATGGCAAGCATCATCTAAGACAAAGCTGGACAAACACTGGCCTCTGGGCTGGATCCAGTCCACCAGAATTAGTCCCTGGCGGGCCCCCACTGCTTTATTTACGTGCGCCTTCACAGGCATCAGACGATCATAGCTCGTTAGCTGCAGGTAGTTGTTTCAGAGGCACAGGTAAATATAGAAATGGGGGCCCGCCAGGGACTAATCCTGGTGGACCATCATTGACCACCCTGATCTAAGACCATCCATGACAGGTGTTTGTCTAGTCTGCTTTAAAAAAAAAAATCTCCAACAATGGAAATTCCACAACCTCTCTAGGTCATTTATTCCAGCACTTAACCACCCTGACAGTTAGGTAGTTTCTCCCAATGTCCAACATAAACCTGCCTTGCTGCAATGTAAACCCATTGGTTCTTGTCCTATCCTTAGAAATTAAAGGAGAACAATGTTTCTACCTCCACCTTGTAACAACCTTTTAGATACTTGGAAGCTGGTATCATGCCCCCTTCTCAGTCTTCCATTGTGCAGCAATCAACGCAACAACTGGCCCTAACTGATAAACCAATACATCTTGGTCTTGCCTTTAAACACCACCACAATGTAGCCGTTAGAAACAGCAACAGGTCTCTGATCCAGTTAGCGTCTCAAAAGGGATGTACTTTTTATTTGGCCATCTCATTAGAGTGAGGGCCATATCTTGCTCACAGGAGCCATGCAGTTCAAATCCCATTTACTTCAGTGGAATTGGGAGAGTAATATGAGCATGATTTGATCCTCATAAGTCTCCCTCAGTATTAGGACCCCGCCCCAATGTCCTCCAAAGACATGCAAAGACAGACAACAGGTATTTTATAGAGGCAATGTACAGTTCAGGTACTGCTGTCCTCTATCACCCTAGATCTATATTAATCAGTAACTCAGGATAAACAAAAAAAAAAAAAAAAAAAATCTCACTTCACCATGTTAAATATTCTGTTGTGTCTATAGACAGAATTACATAGTCCCGATTTAAAATTCACCAAGTTAAGGCTAACAAATCTGCCTTACTTTTGGCCTGTTTTAAAACATCCTACCGCTCCTGCTCCAAAGTAATGAATTCCACATGCTGATGGGCATGCTTTCATTAGGCAGCAGCTCTATAATACAACAGTGTGAGCTGTCTATTTCATCCCACTGCATACCTTTTTTGCTGCCAAGTATGTGGGACGCTGCACACAATGGAACTGAACATGAGAGCAGTGACAAAGGAGAAGAGAACCAGGTAAATGAGCCCTTCCACTCCATCGTAGCAGAAGCCTGTCAGAGCCTGGACGTAATCCTAAAGGGAGAAATTAAGCAGAATCCCTTGGTTCGTCATAAAAAAGTAACCTTGCAAATTCTGTATTCCAAATCCCACCACTTGCATTCCGATGCTCATAGTGAAGATCATGGAGCCAATGTACTTTGTTTGGTTTCACTAAACGCAGGGCTAGTTTTTAAATGCTAACCAACATCCTTGTTTTTATGCAAGGCTTGATTCCGGAACACCAAGAGATGTACATTATATTCAAGGAAAAAAAACAACAACCCCCCCCCACTTTCTTTGCTATCACTTTCCCAGGAACTCTTGACCCCACGCTGGTTTTTTTTAGGGCTGGATTCTCCTGCCACTTACACTGCTTATACACCAATTACTTTAATTGGTGTTACTCTGATTACGCCAACAGAGATCAGAATAGGGCTCTTGCTAAACTGAAGCTTACAAGGGCAAATCATCTGTGCAAAACATTCACTTGAAACTGACAGAAAAATTAATCACTGTTGAGAAATCATTGTTGGTCCATTATCAATCTTTCTGTGTATCTCCGTAACTGACTTTTCTGTCTTGCAGAATTATAAACCATTGAAGCCTCAGTCCACCACCACTTCTCCAAATGAATCTCTCTGGAGAACTAGCAGTTCTACAAAGTAAGTCTGCCTGTCCCAATAAATCTCAATATTCATGAAATCAGCAGTAGTCAATTTCTAGTGCTACAGCTCTTGTACCCACTTCAGCTGTGCACAGATAGGCGTGGATTATAAATTTAACTGTACATTTTGACAAAGTCACAATTTGCTCACCAACCTGGAGATCTTGCTCCACAGCTATGAAGTATTATAGCTATGAAAGGCATCGGACCCAGAGCTGGATTAAGCTTTGGTACGTGAAGCCTCAGAGCTTCAACTTGCAGAAGCACAAAAGTTCACCAGTTTCCTAACCTGCCACTTACCCCAACAGAGATTTTCTTCCGAAGAGAGCAGAGCAACAAAGCCAGACAAAGGGCCTGCTGTAATTTGGCACCCTAGAGACCTTTGCACCCTGACTCTCAAGGAGTGCAACCCTGAGGCTCTGTTTCCATATGTTCAGATAGAATATCTGTCTGCTCCAGACACTGATCAATCACACTCACCAAATGCAGACTGCGACAGTCTACCAATGCAGTCAGGTGCTGAAAATTGATCTCGGTAGAGTTTAGAACCTCCTGTATCCGAGTAAGGTACTCCTGTAAGCAACAAGGTGGATATTAGTAGAACAAAAGGGCTTTGCAAGAGCTGGTTTAGGGCCTCATGTTGAGGGGACACAGCCTTTACTCATCCAATGCTTTCAGAAGATGAAGTTCAAGATGTGTGTTACCTTGGAGGTAGGGTACTCTTTGACGGCTGATCTGAGGAGCTCCAACACATCATCCTGCATTTCCACCAAGGCTTTGTGACTACCTGACAGTTTCTATTAAAAAAGAAAAACAAAGATGGTCAGGGCAAGCCGGGATGTGCATAAGAGTTCCTTGGCAATACTAGCTCCCAAGTACTGAGATATGGACATACCTGATGATGCAGGGTAAGTGTCAGATTAATGGGGGAAAAAAAAATGTTCCACTCAAGTTCCAACTATAATCCTAAACTCCTCCCACAAATAGCAGCTGGATTTTTCTGTTAAAAATGATCACCAGGGAAATGGCTAATGCTTAGAGTTTTATCCATTAATACTCCACTAAGAGGTCCAAGGCAAGTTTACTATTCTCAGGAGCATGCTAATTACATAGATATGCAGTACAACCAAAAGTGTACCTTATGGCATCAGACCACATTTTAGGGCTCATTACAGAGACACAAGTTACAAAATGCCTTTTAAAAAGTATGTTTAAATTCTACAGAAACAGAGGGAGCCTGCAGAGAAGTATCAATACTAGGATACGTGTAGTAAACAAAAGATGACAATGTTGCTCAAGGAACAATAAAAGGAATAAACGAACATCAATACAAATTGATCCTGAGAGTCCCCAATAGGCTTAATAAGGATATATATTACATACAGGAATCACTCCTTCCTCCACTGAAATGCAATCACTTCCGGAGTAGAACACCATAGTTCAACAATGCAAAGCAGTACTGCCCAACAATAAGAAGCGAACAGTGAACCCAATTGAGACTGCAGGAGATTTTAGGCAGGCAGAATGTAGTTACCCAAACTGCACTTTGTTCGGATCCCCAAGATTAATATGTCTGCTCTTGGTGGAAAAAGTGCCAGAAGCAACGAATGAAGCTACAAACCTGACCACATCTCATCAGAAAGGCTGAACTTCCAATCTCCTTAGATCAGGTCCACAGCATAGAGAACCTCTTATTGCACCAATACCATTCCTCACAGCACCTGGAAGGTGCCCCATTCAAATACGAGCCTGCTTCCCTTTGGAGAGCTGGTGAGATCATAGCCAGAGATGGCAGAACTACTGGCCAAAAACTAGAACCAACCACTGGAGCTGAAAGTCTTCTCCTTTTACCAAAGGAGGGGTGCCTCGGGGGGAGAGGGGGAAGCCATAGTGTTTAGACAAAGCTAAAAATCTTGCAACCCACTCTAGGACCAATTTATCTGATTTAAATCCAGCCCCACTGAAATGCAGTTTGTAAAAACAGAAAGGTGAGAGCTAAGATACTCACATGCTGAAATGGGTTTGGATATCCAGCATTACAGGTAAGATAATAGCGTAGGGTATCTATTGAGACAAAGACAAATAGAATAAATCAGGTTTTATTTATTTTCCCCCCCACTTTGAGCCTTCTTATGCCTGCTGCAAGGGAAAATTTAATTCTAATAGCATTACTACTGATATGCTGTGAGAGGCAAAGTCTAAGCAGAACCACTTTCTTCCCTCCTTGCTGTGTGATGGAGCATGGAAGACACTGAAGAAGGGAAGTTGGCTGCATTCTAGAATAAAGGAACACCATTCTAAAAGTTGACCCTATGGCTTTTTCCATCCCATCAAAGCAACTGGGACTTTTCCATGGAAGCAGGAAAGTGAGCTATGATAGCCAAACTACAAATGCTGAGTAGAAACAATATCAGCCACCATACTCAGTGGCACTCAAAACAGGACGCTAGGTTGGAGTCCAAGATTTTATTTCCAGGGGAGCTGACAGCATCCGTGGGCCCCCCAGGCAAGGTTTGGAAGGGCTCCAATGGCAATTTTAAAAGGGCTTACCAGTTTAAGGGATGGAAAAGTTAGTACATGCACATCCAGGACTCCAGTAGGCTATTCTTGATGAAGGCACAGAGGATTTTTGTAAGATGGCTATTTGTCTCCACCTCTCCCATCCTAACAGAATAATTTTTAAGGTGTTTGTAGATCTCAGCCCCTCTCCAGCATTCATTCTGGAGATCTCTCTTGCCTTGTCCCAGAATGGAAATTAGTTCAGAATGGCCAGGAATAGCACAGACAACTCCTTCCCCCCCACAAAAATAATCAGGGAATTTTGCAGATTGATCTTTTTCCTACACACAACAAAGACTCATTAAGAAGTGCTTCCCCGCCCCCCAACTACTTACTACTCACTGTGGGGCTCAGAAGGAACGACAGACAGGAAACACTGTGAGAGGGAGCCAACAAGTAAGGGGAACAGGCCTACTCCTGCTGCACTCACCATCAATATTGTATGCACCTTTCATCATGCCTGCATGCACACTGGGACTGAGCGGTACAACACAGCTTGTCAGCGCCTGGATGCTGGCAATGGAACCTGACAGCTGTTATTTATAATTCATTAGCCTACTATGGGACTGCTTCTACCAGCTGCTCCATTTCGTCCCATTGAATTTCGCTTTGGGACGACTTATCCACAGCTCAGCCGAGCCATTAAACAGCAATTAGTCAAAACTGGGCAAATAATAGGAGTGTGCGCTACTGAATGGACTCTGCACACACTTGCAATCAGAAGGGACTGTTATTCTAGGCCTACATTAGCAGACAGGCTTTTCTGGAGCAGGAATATCATATGTAGCCCATAGTGCTCCCAAGCAGGGGTGGGAGGGGGGAGGAGAGGAGACAGTACAGTGACAAGATGAAAAAGCACCAAGTTGCACAGAACCCTTCCCGCCATGCACAGGAAGCTTCGCTTGGCAAACAAATCTGAAAGCTTCCTGGTAATATCTTGGAAACTGCGGGCAGGGCATCCAAATTTACTGGCTACAACTCACATGAGTACTAGAGCTCTGCTCAGAAGTAAGTCTCTTTCCCATCCTCCTCAATTTCTGGAATGTGTCAGCCTAACTACTAGCTCTTGCTTTGATATTAAGGCATTAGAACAGACCTTTTTTGGCCACTGACCCATGGAAAACAAAAATCAGTCAGGGCTGCACAAAAATTAGAAACAAATTAAACACACAAAACAAACCCCATCAGAAACAGGAAGACTCCCCCATATTCCACCTCGCATATCAAAACTTAAGGGGACGCAGGCTAGATTTTGTAGGCCCCACTATGATCTGGAGTGGGGCCAAAAATTAGTTTAGTGTGAGAGAGCTACTAGGAAGCAGATTTAGCGTTTGGGGTCTGGGAGGATAGGAGGGTGCAGGGGAGGGCTGAGCAGGAGATACAGATTGGATCTCCCAAACCTGGGACTCCCTCATCCAGCAATATACATGGTACAGCAGGACCATGGGTGTTTCTGAACTAGAGAGTCCTGGCTGGGAGCACGAGGGCTAGAGTCAGGGTAGTACAGGGTGCCAGGGCCACAGCAGCACGGCAGCGGGGAGGTAAGGTGATCTGGGGAGCCAGTAGCAGGGGGAACACCTCTGGTCCAGCAAATCCCCTTGTTTGGGACTGGTGAGGTCCAACCTGTAGGATGCAGGAGTGGAGGGTGTGTGGGGGGAGGGACGGGAAGAGTTTGGGTTGGAGGGGGCCCATAGGGCTGGGGCATTAGTGCCAGCTGTCTGATGCTGGGGAGAAGAGCCACCGAGCCCTTAGGGACCAGATCCAGGCAAGCTGGGGGCCAGATTCGACTCCTGGGCCATAGATTCTAGTGTGGAGTGGGGAACCTATTTTAGGTGAGATTTCTAAACAGCCAATCATTTCTCTGACAGACTGTAGGAGTAGATTCTTTACTGCACTAAGCACAGTTCTGCAGCATGGAAGAAGCGGGGAAGCCTGCCAGGAAGCCAGCTGTAGCTCCCCAGTGCAAGTTGGAGCACCTGCGTGAAACTATGACACTTGCATAAGCTCCCTAAAAGTCACCCCACAGCAGCCAAGGGCAGACACTGAAGTGCTCTGCTCCTGCTACACCCTCTCTCATTCTCCTCACATATCCAGCAACCCCACGTGGGTGGCTAATGTGTAAGGTAACTGCCCCCCCCCCCCCACCACCCTGCTCTACGCGAGTGTCCAGATGAAATTGAGATGTGAACATTTCCTTTAAGATTGCCATAAGAGACTATATCTAAAAAAAGGCCAGATGAAGACAGGCAGCAGATGCAATAGCCACTCACTTGCTGCCTTTCAGAGTACAGATGCCTGTGGAATGGTAGCCCCACCTGCCCTCTGTCACTTCTCATTCCTTGCCTCCACCCCCCACCCCTGTGGCCACCTCTGCCTGCCACATCCCACCCTCTGGCAAGCACCAAGGGGCATCCTGGGGCAGCCAATGTCCCTCCCTCAAGATTTTGTATTTGTTCTGGTTGGGCAGATGGATACTCAGCTGGGGGAGGGGCAGACAACCTAAACAGTGGGGGCTCAGTGCAGGAGGCTGTGGAGAGAAGGAACTCTGCCAACAGCAGGTGGGCAGAGGTTTTGCTGGGGAGGGGGCTGAGTAGTGGAGGTATATGAGCAGTAGGGACCTAGGAGAGGAGATGGTGCATGGGCATGGCGCCAGGAGGAAGGCCAAGGGGGATGGAGCCACAGTCTGGGCAGCTTCTTGCACTAGGGTCAGCCTCCCCAGACGTGGGAGGCATGTCTCGCCTACGGGAATGAAGCCTGCCCAGAAACTAGCACCATGGAGGCGGAGGGTTCTACTTGGTATTTTTCCGAGAGCGTAAGCAGGCACGCACGCAGGGTGAATGCAGCGTAAGTACGTAATAGGGATGTAAAATCCTGGTTAATCAGTTAACTGGTTAAATATTAGATTAGGCTAATGTCTAACCAGTTAACCAACTAAGTGGGACCCAGCTGGAGACTGCTCCAGCCCAGCAGGATAGTCCCCAGCCTGTAGGGCTCCCACTTCCAGCCCTGTACTGGGGCTGTCCTGGCTTCCAGCCCTCACCAGAGCAGCCCATGCCTGCAGGTCACCTGGGTTACCCATGGACAGAGACTACTATGGACGAGAGCAGCCCGTCTGCAGTAGGCAGGCAGCTGCTCGAGCCCCCACCAGTTATCCAGAACCAGTAAGCATTCTGCATTTAGGGTGATGCTTACAGATTACCTTAACCTTCCACACTGCTAGTAAGCAAGCTGAGTAACAGCTTCTGTTGCCTCCTGCATTCAGTGAAGCAGGACTTGGTCTATTCCTTATAAACAAACAAGGTTGTGTCAGAGAAAATACCAGACTCTCTCATCAACTTATTCCCAACCAGAACATCCCCAGTTTGACTAGTTGCTCTGGTCAAGAATTCTCCACTGACATCCGTCCAGAACACAGCCCTCCAATTCTGTCAACTGCCATAAGCATTTTGATGGCAATTTCATCTGCTCTCAAAAGTCATCCTTCCAACCCTTCAGGGAACAGGTTCAGCTTAGTTTTATCCTTTCAGCCTGAAATACTACAGGCCAAGCTCTGAAATCTGGAGTTGGTTTTTGAAACTGGCCTTTAAGCAGTCTCCAGGAGAAAGGTCATACTTGCAAGCTGCTTGTGCCTGCTGCTGCTAGCAGCAATCCTCCTGACCCACTTTCGATGGGGAAAGGGAGTTAGAGACCAGAAATGAAGGGACCAATCGGATAAAAGCATCAATTTGAAATTCTCCCAATTTCTGCACGTCTTTCCTAGAAAGGCAACTGCAACTGGCTACCAGGAACAAAGTCCGTTTCATCTGCTAGAATCTGCTTCTCACTTCTGCAAACATAGAAGCCTTACAGCTCATAATTTTATAGTATGATGGCACTGAATGCCAGCAGAACTGCAGAATGCTCTTTGGGAGTATGCCTCAAACCCACAGGGAATCTTGTACGCTAGAATGGCTAAAGAGTAAGCAGCATGGACAGTTTACAAAAGATTGCTATAATTTAGGGTTTTTTTTTGTGTTTTTTTTTTTAAGTAGAGCCCCACCTCAGCCTAACTGGCTTGCCATAAACCTGTGACTTCAGTCATTCCTCTTAACTGGTCTCTGAGCTTCACACACAGTGCTCAAAGAGATCCTGCTAAGAGGTGGCACTGTTTAGTTAAGTTTCAGTGGTGATAATTAAAATAGGAGAAAAGTAGCATTCTTCCCATGGTAACCATACTACCTGAGTGTAGGGTCACAGTCCCAATTGGTGTCCAATTTCCTCAGAAATAGACACTGACAGGAAAGGCAGGTTTCACATGGTATTTATATAGCTTTCAGATAGAGCATTTCAACTGCACTTAAACAGGGGAGGGGAGGAAGCAAGAAGTCAAACTTTTGGTTAAAAAAAGACTAGCCAATGTGATTGCTGCTTGACTTATCCTTAAAAAGCTCCAGATTATTAGCAGTTCTGTGAAACCACAAAGTGGGATCTGGGTTCTAAACTTGGTGAATTTAATATCGCCGGGGGGGGGGGGGGGAGAGAAACCCATCCAAATTGATCGAGTTGGGTCTTCACAGAGCTCTATGAACCCCACACAAATACCAGTAGTAGCCACAAAGTGCACAGCACCTTCTGTCTACATATTACAACCCTTACCGAGAGCATCTACCTCCATGCGCCACAGGAGAGTTTAATTTCTTTGAGATTGCCATCTTAGCTGGCCTCTGACGATTTTTGCAACATGAACATCTGCCCGCTAGTAAGTGAGGAAAGCCAAATTCACTTGACATTGGCGACTTCATCCTTGAACAGCCAGATATTAACAGCTTTCAGACACTGCCAAGCTTGACTGAATTTGAGGTGAAAAGCTCCATTATCCATCCCCTCAGCAATGCAGTCCCTCAGATAAGCTAGTCTGTTCCAGATGCAGCGTGCCAGTAAGAGGTAATCTGGAGCTAGATTTGCTTTTTTGGCTAAACAGATTATGCCTTTTTATTTAATGTGATTGAATAAATGATTGGGTAAGAACACAACTGAGAAAGCGAACAAGGCTAAAAGATGGCCATTTGCTTTGAAAATAAACGTGTTGTCTACAGTATCACTTTTTGATCACAAAAAGGGATGATCCAGTCAGTATTCAAGTCCATTGGTGTTCTCTCAATTAATGAATACCAAATGAGCCAGACACACACACAAAAGCCTCTCAAAGTGGTTATGTTTCTCTCCTCCAAGACCTTTGCATTAAGAATCCTGATCTATTTTTTGCAGCAGTAAATAAACAGTCATCTTTACAGCTCAAGAGTGGGGACAACAGTGATGCGTTTAATCAGATTATTTCCAGTGCTGTTAGTTCTGCTTAGATTTGAAACCTGATGAAAATACTGATGAACACACACAGAAGCAGTTTTAGTCCTGCTGCCCAGCTTCTCCAAGAAAATGACTTCTAGAATGCTCCTGTAGTTGTTGCATCAAATAAATGAACCTGGGCTATGCAACTACATGGGAAATCTTGGACTTAACTGTTAGGTCAGCGGGGCAGGGGGACAACCTTCTTAGCCCTCTGACTGAAGGGGAAAAAGAGAGGAGGAGGGGTGAGGTTGCGTGGCATTACCAAAAAACTCTGCTTAAATTTAGATGAGACACTAAGTTCCAAGAAAAGAACCGCGTCCAGACATCAGCCAAAGAGATGGCGATTCAAGGGCAAATGCTGGTAACTGTGAGGGAGAAGGAAAACAAAACAAAACAAAAAAGCTCACAGGGATCCAGAGCTTCCTTCCTCCTCAGACAAATAGGGTGCAAATATTCAAGACATGTGAACAAAATAAGGGAGATTATGAACTTAACCTTTCTGTTGGAAAACCATGTACCTAGCATGGTTAGGAATAATGCAGAACAGTCTCTAGGAAGACTAGAGAATCTTTTCCTAGTTGGTGTTCTAGCATTCTGTATACAGTTGACATCACTGCTTAAGCAAGAAAAAGCTAATGACCAAATTAAATCGCCTCCCATGAGTGTGTATAGAACAGGCCACACTGCTAACTACCACCTGATGGCAAAGCCAGTAGTTCCTATTGCCTTCAATGTTCCATTTTGACCTTTCAATTAGTCTTACAGAGTCTTCAGAATTGCTAAGCTAAACTTCTAGTTGTTAGTGGCAGCAGAAGGTATCCATTTTGTTGGGCCTGCTGCTCCTATCAAGGAAGGGAAACAGCTTCAAAACAGCAGGAGGAAAATTAACAGGCTCCGGCCAGGCGAAGGAGGAACATACTACTAGGTGCCTACCCTGTGGGAGAGTTTCCTTGTTTATTTAGAATTATTTTCACTGTTATCAATGTGCTATGTCACTAGTTCATAGCACTGTACCCACGCTGTAATTATACCAGTTGACTCCGTGAACAGTCAGGAATAGAAGTTTCCTCTGTCTACCCATTTGTCACCTTTAGTGAAGATGAAGAGCAGCTGGCTAGTGTTTGAAGTCAGCCTTCAACAGTGGTAATTCTCATTTTTCACAGGCATGGATCACTGCAAAGAAATGAAGTAATGCAACGAGTAGCAAAAGAGTTCACTACAATTACAGGGTTCCTCCCATAGTTAAGACCTCTGTAAACAAAGGATCTGGAATCCCTTCCTTCCTTCCTTTCCCAGGAGTTTTCGATCAATAAGGCATTCCAAGATGGAAACTGGGGGGCTGGAACACTAGCAGACTATTTCACACAGTGTTTTACCTCCTTCCACAAACATTTCCTGTTTGCAATCTCTGAACCTCCAGCCAACAGCAGAGTAACATTTCTAACTTCCTATCAGTTTCACAGAACTCTGCTAAGAGAGATACAAAGCTGCAAGCCACATGCAGAAGGCTAGGACTGAGGTCTTCATACTTTTATCGAACTTCTTTTAAAAGTTTCATAACAAAAACCCAAACAACATAGCTGTTAATATCTCCTTTTACAGCCAGTACCCTGTTCCTTAAAATTGTGTGTGACCATAAAACAGAGCTGGACTCAGAGCATAAGGCAGAAGTGTAAAATTGTTAGCCTGACCCTATGATACTCCAACAATTCTCAATTAACTCAAAAGAACCCTCTTCTTTAGGTTCCTATCAGAATCAAATACCAGCTGAATAGCCAGCTGCTGCTCCCCAGAGGCCCAAACAGCAATCAGTTCCTCTACCTCAAACTGAACTGCAGTTCTAAGCAACAATTTTACAAATCTAGACTTTTAGGTTCCAGCCTCAAATTGAAGGCACCACACTCATTTTATGATGCTCCTCAATCTATATGGGGAGTGAAATCCAAAAGCTATCAGAACTGCTGGCATAAAGTACTCCTTTGCAATGAGGGCATCATGGGGTTCTGCTGCTTGGTGTAATTAAAAAAAACAAAGGGGGGGGGCATGTGCTCTTGCTTCCCCTGGCTCTATGGAATTTATACAATGACCTCAAGTCAGGAAAAATCTTCATTTCAGAGACTACTCATGTGTTTTCAGGAAGATCTGTAGAATTTATTTGGTGGGAAAGCAGAGGTCAAAAAGGTGACCCTTTCTGATTACCTGACTGAACCCTTATTTAAAAAGCAGATGAGAACTAAAGACAAGGAAAGCTGAATAAAAACGTTATTTTGTAAAACCAGGCTGCCAGCTGGACTATGTTCTATAGAACCCACACAAAGTCTTGCAAGGAGTCCAACACTATGTAAACATCACTTTAGCTAGAGAACATAACTATCCAAATGAACAAAATATTGGAAGGAATATTATTTTCATACTTCAGCTTGCAACGTGGTATGTCTGGTAAAATCCTCACATACATATGTAATTGCTTATAATACAGGATAAGCACACTAACTGGGACAATTCTGGTATAACAATGAGCACTCGAAAGTGAACAAAACCTGTGCTTAAGGGGTCAAAGTTAAACATAGCATTCCAGAGGATGAAGGAAATTTATACTACTCTCTGCAATGTTTTTTTGGTCTGTTTGGCTGCTGAATTGAAAACAATCTCCTTTAAAAAAAGTATTGGATACTAGCAAGTTAAGAAACTGCAAAGAGAAGTCTAAACTCCAAATTCAGATTTTCTGCATCTATGACTTCCCATTCACAGCAAAGAAAGAATTAAGACACAATGAAAAAGGAGAGATCACTGAATAGGACTCTTGAGAGAGAAAATACTTTGGGGAAAAAGTCATTGAGAGTCTTGGCATTTCACATCTTTAATTGAATCTGCTTTTCCCAGCATTTTATCTCCATTTCTAATACTAGTCCCTGACACTAGGCCGGCAGTGATACACGCTCATGCCAGCTTCTGTTACACAGCGTAGTATTGGAACCATTTACAATCCTAGTACTTACCAGTACTGAGTACTGCATGATCCTCTACCACTTTAGAGATGTAGACATCAGGATTCACACAGAAGTCACTGGAGCCCTAGCAAGTAAAGGGGGAAAAAAAAAGTCAGCAACACAGCACAGAGGTTCAGTCATATCTGTCTCAGAGAATCTGTGGCTCTCAAGTTTGGAGATATTCCAGAAGCCAAGCCCCAGCAGTCATCCAATTTACTACCCTCCCTCTGAAAAGTGTTTCTATACATCCATCACCCAAGCCTTGGTGCAGAGTGGAGCTGGGATACTAGCTAGCAACCTGCATTATGGAGGTAGTTTCCTGAACCTGTTTCACATACAGTTTACCAGGATGGCTACTGAAAACCAGACACTGGGAGACATTTATTCATGTGCCCAATAAATCTACAGCGTAGGGCAGTGGTCTCCAACCTTTTTACACCCAAGATCACTTTTTAAATGTCAGGGCAAACCAAGATCTACTCTACTCCTTCCTTGAGGCCCAGCACTCCCCATTCTCCTCCTTTCCATCATTTACTGTCCCCAGCCTTTACGCACGTTCATTGGGTTGAGACAGGAGGTGCAGGCTCTGGGATGGGAACAAGAGGTTTGAGTGTGGGAAGGAGTGAAAGGTGCAAGCTCAGGGAGGGAATGTGGTTGCAGGAGGAGGTGGAGAAGGGGATGGTGGCTCAGGGAGGGGGCTCCAGGCTGGAGAGCGTTGGGGTCACGTGGAGGGTTGGGCTGATGAGCAAGCCGCAGGCTTGTGGCTGTGAGGGTGCAGGAATTTGGATTGGGATATGGGAGGGGCTCAGGGCACAGGTTTGTGGTGTATGGATGGTGCAGGAGTGCGGTGATGTGAGGAGCTCAGGGCAGGGGGTTCAGGTGTATCATGGGCTCAGGGTTGAGGTCTGTGCAGGGGTGCAGGAATATTATGATGCTGCAGCCAGATGCAGGCTTGGCCCCAATTGGGTTTGTTGGCCAGGTTTCATTTTTAAATAAAATATTATGTCCCAACACAAAATGTTTCAGCATGGTCTTTATTTATGGGAGATGGGGCAGGGAACCTGTTTTGGGTCAGGGGCCACTGACCCACAGAAAAATCAGTTGGGGACCACACAAGTGAGATGTATAAAAATCAACCCCTCCTAAACCCCCCAAGCCTCACTCATGTGGCCCCAATGGCGACACCTCACTCCCCTGGCACTCCAGCCCCATGGGGAGGGTAGGTAGGACTGAGGTTGTGGGCCTCAAGCTAGATGAACTTTTCTGGGGTTCCAGGGTTAGTGGATTTTGTGGGCCACCTTCACTCAGGTGGGGCCAAAAGTGAGGGATCCCGTGTACGGGACAAGGCTGCCAATGAGTGGGATATGGATAGGGGTGCAGAATCTGGGTGGAAAGTAGGGTACAGGAGCAAGCTGGGGGTAGGTATCTGGCCAGGAGAGAGGGGGCAGGAGCAGGATGCTGGTAAGTTTGTCTAGGGAGGAGCAGCAGGGACCTGGTGGGGGGTCTGACCAGGGAGAAGGGTGCTGGTGGGGGTCTGACCAGGGGGCAGGAGCAGGGTGCTGGTGGGGGACTGGCCAGAAGAAAAGGTGCAGAGGCAGCTTGGCCCGTACCCGGGGTAGGGGCATCCTCCAGGGATGAGGATCTCTGGGGCAGGATCTGCAAGCAGCACTGGAAGAAGTGCACATGCAGCTCCTTTAAGAAATCCAGCCGCTCTGGATCCTGTGCTGCTATCTTAACTACTCTCCCCTGCCTTCCCCAAGCATGGGGAAGGAAGCGAAGACAAGAAAGCATGCGTGTTGTTGTGGGCAGGGGAGGACTGTGTGCACACACTCTTGTATTTCCTTCATTCCCCATACTGCCTTCCTTCCTGCGGTGTGGAGAAGCAGGGCAGGGAAGTCTTGAGGCTCTGTGCCAGATCCAGCTCCGGATTTGGTGTGGAGCTGTGGGACTCCTCCCCCCAGGCTGCAGGAAGCCAGAGCTAGCTCATTGGGGGTAGGGTGGGGGAAGCAAGGAGGGGGCTGGGAACACTACCTCGCAATAGATTCACATGCCAATCACGATCAACTGGATGGTCACCATGGGCGTAGGGTGTGTGAAGGATGGATCAGAGCCACTTACCACTGCAACAGCCAGCTCCAGACCCAAGGATCCCCAACTGACAATTAGGGCAAGCACTCCTAGAAGACACACCCTGCAAAAGGAACAGGAGACAGACAGGTGGCTGATGCATTGGCTCCAATTCAAAACACCCAAATGATTTAACAAGGATTTCTTTGACGTTCAAAAGCAATAATTAGTTTTCATTTGTGTAATTAGCAATGTGAAAGATAGTCAGTGTCTTGTACAAAAACCCTACTTGGAATACAGAACTGTGCAAACCTGTACCATTTGATTGGAACCCCGGCCCACAGGTCTCACCTCTAGTTCTTAGCAGACAGCCTCTGCAAGGCCTCATTCAAGGACTGAATGTGAACGGAGACTAGACATGGCTCTTAGAAGCATACTAGCTAGGGGAAGTCTGTATTCCTGCCATCTGTGAGGAGAAGATTGCTACTTTTACATCCTTGTTTTCATGAGGTTCAGATTAACAAAATTTTAAAGTGTCTGAATTGCCAAAAGTAGAGGGGATACATGCGAGGGAGGCATTCCTCCAGGCATTTCCAGAATTACACACTAAAGGGCATGACTGGATCCCACAAAAAGCCCCTTTTTTTACCCTTCATTACTGGTCATGACATCTGCTAGTGGAAGAAGAGAAGGGACAAAATAGGTTTACCAGGAAAGTTACTCCATGTTTTAAGGTTACATCCCCGCCTCCACAGAAGCTATTAGATTTTCAAATATTTCTTCCATCTACCTGTGCACTGCCCTTCATCTAACCTACTTAGACTCTTTTGCAGCACCATAGGTTTCTAAAGAGCAGTGGAAAAAGACATAGGAGACAACAGGCCTTTAAATACTGAGAATCCCAATAAAATTTCTGAAATAAGTTGTGCTGTCAGCAGACACTACTGGACAAGTTTTCAGTATGTTGCATGCTGCCATCCATAGGCAAGTCCCCTCAAAGGGAATTCTAAAATACATTCCTTATATCTAGTCTTGAAGTTCCGTCCCAAACAAAGCCATGCAGCTAATGAGCTCCACCACAGACTAGAAACTGACTTGCTTTCCTGGTACTTGACACCAGAAAGCTAAAGAAAAACCCACCCAATGCACAGCTACCAGGCCACAACCCAGTCAGGAGACAGAGTTACACATCTGTTATACTCTAGATTCAGATTCCTAGGCCAGAAGAGATCTTCTAATCACGTGTAATCTCCTGTATAAACATAGGCCCTAGAACTTCCCCAAAATAATTGCTCTAAACGGTTTCATTTAGTAAAACATCCAACCTTGATTTTAAATGTGTCTCAGATAGACTCCAGCAGGATCCTGGGTAAATTGTTCCAATAGCTAAAAACTTAAGTGAAAGTTTACACTTTATAATGGCTAGAAGTTGAATCTAGACCAATTCAGTTTGGAAATAATGTCTTATAGGAACCCCGCATTATTCACGGATTTGTCAGTGTGCTGCACCACACCAGCTCAATATTCACAGTGCACGGCACTACCCCAGCCCAAGCACATGATGCAGCATGATGACGCTTTTTCAGTCGCGCTAGTAAAACAGTTCTATTCACTGAATTAGAGTAATATTCCAGTATTAACACACCCTTAACTATGGCATTAAAAGGAAAAGTGAGTGATGCAGACAGCAGGCAAGAAGCTAAATGGGGGGGGGGGGGGGGGGACTAAGCCAGAAAGTTGAGTTATTGGAGAAGCTTGAGTGTTTATTATATTACTACATGTAGATATTAATCTATTACATCACTTTATACAGCAAATGGGGTTGTTTTGTGTGGGCAACACCCCTCACCCCTACAATTCGCAGATTTCACCATTCCCCTATAAATGGCAAGAGTCTCCTACATACCGCTCTCTGCTAGACTGAGGAGTCCATGATCAAATATTTGTCCCCATACAGGTATGCACAGGCTGTAATAAACCCTTTAATATTCTCTTTGTTAAGCTATGTACATTGAACTCTAAGGCACACTGTAGAATCCTCTTGCAAGAGACACTTTGACATATCCAAAAGCCAACCCATCAATTCTCTCCAGTTTAAGAGAAACTCAGACTCGCAGCTAATGTGATCAGTTTTTTGGCCAAAATGAAGTAGTTGAGATCTCCTAGCAGGCTGGAAGAGGAGCAGCTAATTACATTAACAGTACCATTTTAATCTGGGGAAGAGAGTGGGTAAAGACAAAAGGTGGCTTAAGTAATCTAAGTAGTCTACCAGTTATTTCAAAGGCCTCTGGTATCAACACAGTCTGTGTACACAAGTCAGAATATAATGTCCGTTTCATTTAAAAAAAAAGTAAAGGGGGGCTGCTCATATTTGTGATTTACATTTTGACATACAATTGCCATTTAAGGTAAATTTAAAATCCTGATGATCCTAATGCACCGGGTAATAAACCAGAGAAGGGCTATATTAATTTATTGTACTAACAGCTATAGCCCTGCAAATCCAGATATCTGCAGCTCATTTTTGCAGATACAAATTTTGGATCTAGAACCATGCAAATTTGCAAATATTTATGGATGATTTTTGCAGATGCGAAAACCGATTTTGTAACTGTACAGAGCTCTGACGACAGCAGAACCTCATCAATTCACAATAACTAGGAGACACAAAATAGATTATTGCATTTTGTTATTTATCAAATCAGTGCCAAATCTCCTCCCCCCCGCCTCCTCCCAAAAAACCCAAGGGAATTGCATAAAACCCCTATTTGGAGAAGTTTTGCTTTATGCATTGCATTATGTTAGGAATTTTATGTGGCATATTTCATAGAAGAAACAAAGGCTCAGCAATATAAAATTTCTGGATAGCACTCTACTACTCAGTTTGAGTTTTGTTCCACTTCTGGGCATAGTGGCTGTGAAAATCATCAGGTTTGTACATTAGCATTGTGACATTGTTAGGGAGCCTCTGTACACTTTGGCCGAACATGGCAATCTATTCACTATTGAGCATTTGGGGTCTTCATTGAAAAGGAGATCAGGAACTGTTTGGCTACAAGACCTACAACTGGCATTTCACCATCTTGCTTGACTGTAAAATATAGGTTCTTTATTCTGTGAACTTCCTTCGGAGAAATGCTTTCATTTCAAACTCTGGTTATAAAGAGTGAGTTTTCAATTTGAATTGCAGGTTTACCATCTGTGCATACATTTGTCATTTTGTCTCTTGTAACCTATCAGCTATGTAATAATCTTGCAGGAAACTAAAGGCTGAATAGACATTGCAATTGCTACCATGCTAGGGCATTGTGATGAAGACGGCCAAGAGGCCATCACATTTTCATGCTTATAAATACAGTGTGGTCTTAGCCAAATATGTACGATGAAAACTGTGTCAAGATGACGACCGAGGAATATTGGTTTTTTATACACACATCATGCCTAACATGGCAGAAATATCAGTAGTGGACAGGTGAATAAAGTTGACGCACAAAAATAGTTCTATCCTGACACCGCACAACTCCTGCTTTGCGCCAGTTTCAGGGGCTTTCACAAGTTTGAATAGTTTCATGTCTGCTAAAGTGCCACGGACAGAGGAAAGGTAACAACAAAGAAACACGCACACACGTGCTGGTAGTATATGGTTGGAGACTACATGCACAGTATTAATCACCAGGCTTAAATCCCTTGCCCACCAATATTCTGGAGCATCAGTGGAGTGAGTCTTCCTTTTAAAAAGCCATTTTAATTTCAAGTGGGGTGACAGTATTCTGCACTGCAGCTTTCCTACCTTGGGTAGGTGAGCCAGAAAGCAGTTATCAGGGCTAACTATTGAAAGCAAGGCACTCTCAGGAATAAACTCCTTGTCTCCGACATTAAAACAGATTGTCAAACAGATTAAGTGGTCTTCTGACAAGACAAAAAAAAAAAAAAAGTCTTCCAATGAACGTATCCCAGATGATGTTCTACCCCTCTTCATGTAGAGGCACCACAAAGCATAGCTCTGAGTGGTAAGCACACAATCTACCATTCATTGCTCTCAAATATTACTCAGTGGCCCATGAAAGGATCTGATGGCACAGTCTGAAAGACTCAACTAGCTAGTGTTAAGCCTCTGCCCATGTTTTTCCAAGCACTGTCTCAGTGTAAGAACTTACCCCAGGAGAATGGCCTTGGAATTTCTAATTAGTCCAAAGAGCACGAGCAAACAGATCAGGACATGAAACAGAAGTAGGCCCAGGTATCCCAGCCACCTGCAACATATGCAAACACAGATGGTAAGATGACAAAAATTGGTGTCTAGAGAATAGGTGAGCACACGAGAGAAATTTGGTGTTCTCCCACTCCTAGCAAATAAAAACACATTAAATGAACTGTGCTTCTCAGATCACATAGCCAGTCTATAGTGTCCTCAGCTGGCTAGCTCTGTTAACAGGCATGAGAAAGTGTTTGCAAGAGTGACCAAAGCATTATGTTCAATAGCAGGCTTCAAACTTAAAGGTGACTGGTCTATGCAGCTGGCAGAGGAATAAATACAACAGTCCAAGAAATTCAAACAGATATAGAACAAGAATGAACAAGAGCAATTCTGGACAGAGGGGACTCCTGGTGTAACTGCTAAGCACAGACTGTACCTATTCATTTCCCTCCCCAGTAGTGATGGTCAATTCTGTACATCTCCAAGGGCTGGTGGGTAAAGCAAGGCCTCTATCTTGGATGTGCTATAGTGCGTAGCAGGTCTTCATCTTTAGGACACCCAGGTAGCAGGGCAGCCAAGTGCAAAAGATAGCACCATGCCAGCACCAGAGTGTGAGCAGCACACCTTAATGGACTTTGCTTGCCAATAAAAGTCAAGTCACATCTCTGCTCTATTATGTTTTTAACAAAGCTCAGCACACTTTTGCACAGGGAAATAACCCCAATGAAGGTATGCCTAGAATGCCCACAGATTGGTCTAACAAGTTTACAGACCAGCTAGCTGGAAAACCATCAGACGTCTATTTGACCTGAAAAGACACAAGCTGTAGCATCTCTCCTTGCCTAACATCCATCAACTGTACAGGCCAACATGTTGCACACCTGTACCAGTCATATAGATCGATCTGAACAGCCAGTTCTTCCAAAGACAGTTCCTCATTCTTCCAGAAAGGGATCTCTGTTGTTTGCCTGACCAAATCATCCAAGAGGCCCTGGAGTTTCTGGATGACGTGAAGGTAATCAGTGTGTTTTGTAAACGTCTCTTCAAGGATCTGCAGGTCTGGCTCCACTGTTTGGTTCAGGGCCACGGAAGTATCCAACACCTACGGATGAGACAGAAGAATGACAAAAGGAAAAAACCTACATACCTTGCATTTACAAAAAAGTCTGCCAGTCTAGAAAGGAGAGCAGGGAGGGTAAAGATAAGGAGTATCACTGCCAAAAAGTGAGGGACAATTTCTATGCTTGGGGACTGTATCTTCAAGGAGTCAACCTCAGATTCATTTGACACTGAAGATGGAGATCAGTCGCCCAAAGTAGCCTTAGAAAAGATTCAGCAGGGCTGGGCAAGCAAGAGAATAAGCTTATTTCCCTGCTTTTAATCAGGCTCCATTGCTTTACTTTTGGGATGAATTGTAAAGAAGTAGTCTCCTTGACAATTGTGACTAGTTGCTGTCTACTTGTGACTACAAGCCAGCATGCACTGAAAGACCACTGTGAATGTATACAGACTATGGCTGCAGAGAAGCAACAAAATGAAAGCCCCCTATAGCAGGGGTCTCAAACTCCTGGCCCACAGGCCATCCCCAGCCAGAGTGTTTGTGCGATCTGGCCCAGAACTCCCGGCAGGGGAAGCAGAGTGCACTGGTGAGTGAACTCGCTCTACTGCGCTCTGCTTCCCTGCGGCTCCTGCTGCCACAGACGGTTGCAGGAGGGACATAACTTCTGCCTCTGCACCACACCAGCCTCCCAACATCCTTGGGGACGGGGTGCCATGGGGGAGAGCGAGACCCTGGCGGGATGGAATGAGGCATTGGGGCTGGTCACAGACAGCCTCCCCCAGCCCACTCGGAGTCCCAGGCCAGACTGTGCAATCGCCTCTGCTGTCCCACAGGCTGCGAGTTTGAGACCCCTCCCTTAGAGGAAACACTTGGGGAGGATAATACTGAAAAGCACCATATTTATTAACAGTACAATTTACTACTGAGCTACTGTTCAGTTACTGGGCAGCCGCCTCTTCTGAAGATGGAGGAGCGCCAATGTGAAGCCATTTTTAAACCACCCACAATCGAGAGAGAACACACTTGATGTAACATGTTTTATTTGCTTTAATATTTTTAGAAGCAAGAGAGACTGAAGAAATTATCTTCCCATTAACAGAAACAATGGCACACACTTCTCAATTCAGAAATTAACCAAAGACGGACAGACACACAGATGCAGATGTTTCCATCTGCCACACGCACCTCAGTTCCTCGCTTTTATACTTACCCGGTCCTGGACCCCAGCCACTGTGCGGTTTGCATGTCGCAGCGAGTAGGTCAGCCGGTGGACGCCATCACTGGTCTCCCCATTTCCATAGAAGCCAACAGCAATGCCAGCACTGCGAAAAAAAGAGCAGGAGTTATTCTGGGCAAGTTGCTGCTGCTTCTACCGCCACTCCTCCCCTCTCGCCAGGATTGCTTACAGGAGTAGAATGTGCACCTTCAGCTCAGGAGTACTAACACTATCCCTATTCCCTTGGGGGGGGCGGGGGGGATAAAAAAAAAAATCATGCAGAATTGATGCAGTGAACCTGAAAATCAGACTTGATATGCTACACACAACTGTGGGCCCTGTTCAGTGCCTCTAGGCTTTGTGATGTGCACCTTCTCCTCCTGTAAGAAGGTGCACCAATCTGATGGTGTGCTGCAGCATCTGATGAAGATGCTGTATGCATGACATTAGAGAGCTCTCCTGACCAATGTTCCTTCTAATCTTTTCCATGTGCGGAATAAATATGCATGTGCAGCAAGGCATGTGTGAATGTGCATTTCCAGTAAAAATTAAAAAAAAAAAAAAAAAAAGCCAAGCTGTAGGCCCTCTACTGATCAGCGTTTGAATCTTGCCTGAGCAGCCAAACATATGCACAGATTACAGGGAACACTGCTCCCGTCAGCATAAAAAACTCCCAAACATCTCTGAGCAGCAGAAGCTATGGTGGGAGAGTTTCTCCTACTGATGTGCATACAGCACTGCAAGCACTTTTCAGTTTGCCTCGTCACACAGGTGAGTGGTTTATTCATACCCTTGAGTGACATAGGTGGCAGTTTAGTGTAGATGTAGTCTTACGATTGTAGAGAGCCCATGCCATAGACATCTGTGCATTAATTACTTTGTGCAAGATCCATTTCATTAGATCCCTTCCCCCATTCTGAAACTGCATGGGCATCTATTCTGGCCAGTCCTCCCATTAGAAACCTTGATGCTGTGAGGATTATAGTATTAAGATTGCAGAGCCCTGTACCCTACTGGGGCAAGAGTTTTTTTTTGGGGGGGGGGGGAGGGGAGGGGAAATCAATTTAATTTTTTTCTAAGCAAGACTGAACATTTAATTAGGAGTCTAACTCTTACTGAGGTCTCACCTCAGCTCCAGTCAGGCAGGCCCGTTTTCCAGTTTATCAAAATCATGATTGGTTCTTTTGGAATCCATTAACCCAAGGAGCCAGAGCATGCAGCCAAGGAACAGAAATGGAGATGAGAAAAACACCTCTCCCCCAAGTCAGTGACATCTCCTTGCTGTAGTCAAGACAATCACACTACTGAGAACACTCAAAGCGTCTTTCCATTCTTCCCTCACCCAAAATCTATCTCCTCGGTTCATTCCCCAATAGGACAGATGGGGGAGTGGAACTGGACTAATTTAAGAAACAGATTACCTAAATTAGGGTAATTGTGTTTTTTGAACTTCCTAGTCCCATTTCAGATTTTGGGCCTTCACAAAGATTCTTGATGCTATGCTGGCCCTCAGGATAACCAGATTTGCTTGTTTCATTGGGATGTTTTTAGGTTTCTAGCTAATATTCATGCTAACCACTTAATTACTCTGCACCAACTTTCTGCCAATCTCCGGTTTACAGCCACTGCATGGAGTTATGATAGAGGTATAGGAAAGAAATACACCAAAAAAGGTTTCAGAACCAGTCAATATTGCTCTTGTGTTGAGCAGAGGGGTCAGACAGACCGACAGACAGACACTAAGCACACCCTCCTCCTTCAGCATCTATTTGTTTAGTAAAAAGGAGATTGAGCATCCTGAACAGTAGGTATCTCAGGAATGGGCTTTGGGAAGGGATAATGGGCTTTTGCATGAGAATCTGTTCTGGCAAGTGTGTAGGGTTGCCAGGTGTCTGGTTTTGAACCGGACAGTCCAGTATTTGAGCTCTCTGTTCAGGAAAAGAATTGAGAAAATAAATGTCTGGTATTTTCTAAATAAGATGTAATGTAGATTGTGATGTAATGTCAAGTGCGTCCGGTATTTTTGTTGAAACCATCAGGCAACCAAGTGTGCCAGGCTGCCTTTTAGTGCAGATAAATCCATCTTCTGCTGCAGGAAGGTAGGCCCCTTCTCCTTCCCCTTCCCCTACCATTTCAAAAGGGATCAGCAAGACAATGCAACTGCAATGTAACTTGTTCTCATACAGGCAGAAAACCGGAAACAGATTACACACTGGAAGCAAAGCAGCTGCACAGGTCTGTCAGTCCCATGGATTTTCCCAGCAATCAGGGCTTCCATAAAATTATGAAGAACTTGTCCTGTAAAAGCCTCAGTCAAAAGGTTTTGCACAGAGTGAGCAACTGGCCTACATCTTGATCACTTCAGAAAGGCAGAAGTCTAATGACATTTTCAGTACTAATACAGGAAAGAGATTCAATTCCCATGAACACTTTTCCACAGAAGCACTTTCATCACATAAATGAAATTGGTAATTAAAGAAAACCCTCCAGATGCCTCCCTGCTGAAATTTCTCTCTCCAACTATAGCTGTAACTACAGGAGGAGCTGTAACTACAGGACGAGCATTAGTCATAAGAACAGCCATACTGGGTCAGATCAGAGGTCTATCTAGCCCAGTATGCTATCTGCCGATAGAGGCCAATGCCAGAGGACCCAGAAGGAGGGAACACAACAGGGAACTGTCAAGTAATCCCTCTCCTGCACCCATTCCTAGCCTCTATCAGAGGCTAGGGACACCATTCCTACCCATCCTGGCTAATAGCCATTGATGGACCTAGCCTCCATGACTTTATTTAATTTTTTAACCCTGTTAAGAGTCCTTGTCTTCACTACCTCCTCTGGCAAGGAGTTCCACAGGTTGACTGTGCACTGTGTGAAGAAATACTTCCTTTTGTTGGTTTTAAACCTGCTACCTATTAGTTTCATTTGGTGACCCCTAGTTCTTATGTTATGGGAACAAGAAATAACTTTTCCTTACTCACTTTTTCCACACCAGTCATAAATCCCCTTCAGTTGCCTCTTTTGAAAGCTGAAAAGTCCCAGTCGTTTTAATCTCTTTTCATATGGGACTCATTCCAAACCCCTAATCCTTTTTGTTGCCTTTTCTGAACCTTTTCCACTGCCAATATATCTTTTTTGAGATGAGGCAAACATATCTGTACACAATCAAGACGTGGGCATACCACTGTTTCATAGAGGCAAAAAAATGTTCTCCGTCTTATTCTCTATCCTTTTTTTTAAATAATTCCTAATATTTGGTTTGCTTTTTTGACTGCTGCTGCACATTGAGTGGATGTTTTCAGAGAACTATCCACAATGACTCGAAGACCTCTTGCTTGAGGAGTTATGATTGGGACAAATTCAGCAATAAGTCATGAGCAAAGGGGATAAAAACCAATAGTACAGGGCTGCATCTTGTACTAGAAGACCCTTGGAGCCATGTCACTGCACTATGCACCTTATTCCCCACCAAACCCATGCTTAGTAGCTAAAGGAAGTAGCTGGGGGGGGGGGGCCTGAAGAGGAGGAGGGGAGAAAAATCTGAGCAGCACACACATTTCCGGGAAGCGGAGAGCCTCTCGACTGTGTGTTGAGCAAGTGAGTCCATTCTAGGCCATTCTTCAGAATGAGGGAGCACACCCTAGATCCCTATGGTTTTTAATGGACCATGATACTGCAGCTGCATTAGAGTCACAGATGAGTTCAGAGCAGGAGTCAGCTGCCTGTTTGTCAGTTTTCTCTGCACGGCAGCAGCATTTTAATCAAAACAGATCAGTAACAGCACCCTTCAGCAGCAGCAGACACTTTATATTTAATAATGGGCACCTTATATTTAATACAGCCAGGTGTCTGAGCCAATTTTATTGCCTCATGTTCAGTTAAATGCTGACCACAGGAAGTTTGTCTCTTGCACAGCTGACCACCAGACACACAGCCATCAGAGGATTCCAGAGCTGCAGCTCTAGAACAATTGCAGTGGTTACTCTCTTCCTTCCTTGAAAAATGAGGCAAATGTTCACTCTAGGGATGTAAGAGTAGCCGATTAGCCGACTACTAGCATTCCTACTGTCTGATAGAGAGGCAGCAAGGAGGATGGCGGGGGAGAGGAGCAGGACCCGATGCTGGGGGGAGCCATCTTAAAAGCCAGTCCTCCCCCCTTCCCCCCACCCCCAGCACCATCTCCATGGTACCGCTTGTCTCCCCAGCCCCCTGTGCTGGGCCAGAGGAAATCTACTCCACATAGCATCCCAAATCCTCACTGCCCACCCCCAATGGACAGGGACTGATGCCACTGAAGCTCTGCAATTAAAAAAAAAATGCATGAGGAGCCAGGGGACAGGTTGCCTAACTCCTACTGCCTTTTAAATTGCAGCGGGGTTTGGTCCTGATGCAAGCCTAGGCAGAGCCAGCTGCCTTCCTCTATTGACTAGTAAAATAACCTCATTTTAACATCCCTACTTTACTCCAGCCAATGGACAGGGACTGATGCCACTGAAGCTCTGCAATTAAAAAAAAAATGCATGAGGAGCCAGGGGACAGGTTGCCTAACTCCTACTGCCTTTTAAATTGCAGCGGGGTTTGGTCCTGATGCAAGCCTAGGCAGAGCCAGCTGCCTTCCTCTATTGACTAGTAAAATAACCTCATTTTAACATCCCTACTTTACTCCAGGGCTGTGGTGTCCAACCAGTCCTGAAGCAGTAGCCACTCTAGCGGCTACTGCTATAGCGAACTAGACACACTCAACCTGCCAAAGACCCACTGGGCAAATAGACATGTGGCTAGTGGCTAGCATGTTGGACACCACAGCTCAGCATCTCTCCCACTAAGAGACAGCAATTCCATGGGAAGGAAAGCGATTAAAACTAGGGATGTAAAATCCCAGTTAAACCTAAGGTTTAACCAGTCACCTGATTAAGTGGACTACCACTGTTGCCTCTCTCCCCTCCCCTAGCTTCCCCCTCTGGGGCAGCAGGAGGCTTCCAACCCACCACAGAGCTGCTCTTGGGTACTGGTTAACCAGTACCTAGTAAGCATCACCCAGTTTGGATGATGCTTACACAGTAACCAGTTACTGTGTTAATTAGGGCTATATGAATGGATATCAGGATTGAAGATCAAGGCAATTCAAATTAAAGATACTACTGAAGTCTGCAAGTCAAGATGCATGTCATATGTCCATTGTGGAACAAAGACACTAATAGTTACGTCACCATCAAGCACTACTGAATCCTGTTTTGCCAAGAAGAACCACTGAAATACACAAGCCCTTTTTACAGAAACAAGATTCACAACAAAATGGCAGTTCCCTTTCCTACCCAGTGTTCTGAGGGAGAGAAGGAGAGAATAAGCTGTCTCAGGTCAGGGGAAGGCAGCTGGTGATTAGAAAGGGAAAAAAAAAAAAAAAAAAAAAAAAAAAGGGGGAAGGCTGCTGGTAAATTCTAACAGATATTGTAAACCTTGATGGCCTACAGCAAGCCAATGAATAGCTTTGCTTAAAAATAAAAAGTGTCTTACAGTGTCTTAATATAACCTAAGAATATTTAGTAATAACTACTAAGAATACACTGTGCGTATCATAGTAGCGGTTCTGTCCTGTGGGGTTGGAGGGGGGTGGCTCCCCCTCTCAGAGTGTTGTTACCTCAGAGGTCATAGGGCCATTCACTCAAATTTAGCTCCCACCACCACCAGCCTGTCACTGAGAGGAATGGCTGGGCCAAACTCGAGTAATAGTGTATCCCTTGGCAGCAGACAGTAACACCAGGTCAAGGAGCAGAATCCAACCAGCTCTGTGGGAGGTCTGATTTCAAGTGCCCATCTAAAACAGCCTCTAAGTCTCTCCACAGATGCAGAATGCACAACACTTCAAGTCTGCCAAAGCTGTGGAGGCGCCATACTCTTACAAAAAAAGGGGGGAGGGCTCAAAGCAACTCATCCTGGGCACCCAAAAATGGTGAAAAAATTAGAAGCCACTTTTGAAACTTTATCTTAGCAGGCATTTGCCTGAAGTTTTATAGAAGCAGTAAGAGAGGGGTTGAGGCTAGGGATGTAAGTGGATAGTCAAGTAGTCGACTATCCAATAAGCCTAGTCTTATCAGGTAGTCAAGTCGACTACTCGCTCCCCCTCCACCCCCGT